GACAAAAAGTTTAGTCATTTCAATTAGTGTTTCTTAATTCAATTTTTTTTTTTATTAACGAAGCACAGATCTCCAACAAAACAATTGACATTAATAATATACATTTTTTAGCTTTAGTACTAATAGGTGAACCCACAAAAACAAGAATATCAATAACTTTTTGTCAAAATTAACCTTTTGAAACGTGTTTGTAAGTATGAAAAACAATGTATAAATATGACATTATTGTCAAATGAATTATAACTATTTAAGAATCTGTGTGTCTTGTTCTTTTTATTTATTTACATGCTATATTTTATTTTTTAAACATGCTCTTTATTATACACGTAATGCACAAAAAAAGCACATCTATACAAACAAATAAAATTGAAGTTTCTGTTGAATGTCCAAATAATAGGTTTTTTTCAGGCTCACATGGTTATTTGCATAATACCTATGTCTAAAATCCAGTTTTAATATTTTTGTCTGTCTGTCTGTTTGTATCGAGTAATCGTCAGAACGGCTTGACTTTGATACCTGGTAGGTATCTATATGGAATAACTCAGGCTATTTTTCCCCTTGGGTCGTCTACTCGTCTGTAGATGACCCGAGGTATGTCGGGGCACCAGGGACTTCCTTTCTAGGGTATACCTGGTTCCCCGGCTATTAGTACCCGAGGCGGCGTGCGGTTTTAGTCGGTTCGAGTCCGACATGCCACCGATAGGTGGTATCCGAGGGTATTTCCGCACGGAAAAAAAAAAAACCCAATAAAATTTTGCCTAGTCTAGAAATCGTACCCGAGGCCTCACCACGAAAGCAGCACCTTTCAAATTTTTTAAATATACACCAATATAAACTGCTGGTCTATTTTTATTTTATTTGGTGTGTAATCTTACTGGTCCAACAAGTGTACTTAGAATTTTATTATTATCTGTCCAATTTGTGAGGCACCTGTGGAAATGTAAGTATTAATAAAATTATGATCCATAACATTTTTTTTACTATTTCGTTCAATTTCTTTTAATTTGAAAATAGGGTACAGTGAGAAGTAGTTCAAAATGTGCATCCAAAAAAGAAATAGTTCTTTAAGATAAGTTATAGTACATTTTGATTAGATGACCAAAGAATATGAAAACACTGGGAAATATTAAGAATCTTGTTGGAATGTGAAAATATAATTCAAATTCAATTTTAGACAAAAATAATACCTACCTACTTTGAAATGTGTCGTCTCCTTTCTAAACAGGTACAACTACTTTGGGTAGCGTTAAATGCCTAGTTATTTTGCTACACAGCAGAAGACTTACACTGCCAGCAAGAAAAAAAACAAAAAACATATGAACAAACTTAATTAAATTATGAGACTGCATGGATGGTATAGTGGTGTAAGCTTTCACTGTACCTTAAATGAAATATTATTTATATAAAATCATATCAACTGGAAATGTTTACCAGACCCTTACATTAAAGAAAATTACAATATAAAATATTATTTCTCTAACCTGGAGCCAAGGGATACCCAACAAGAAGATGGGAAAAGAAAATCCGACTGACCCTGGGCCGACACTGGACAACGGTTACAAGCTGATAATTATATATTCCAGTGAAGTTAGAATTATAAATTTAAGAAAGTGGGGAAACCTGGGGTGCCAAAAGGCGACTCAGATTAAGGTATTGATTAAGGATTGTAGATAGGTAAGGTAGATAAAATAACTCAGAAAATGAAATTTGTAACCAGAAACCCCAAATTTGAATGTAAGTGTTGCTCTTCAAGTCTCCGAAAACACTGTATATATTCAACAGATACCAGAACAAGCTGGTTAATTAAGCATAAGTCAGTATTGTATGTCACAATGATATTTGGATAGGTATTTGCTCTTAATAATGTGTACTAATTTGTAAAACAATTAAATACTAATTAGGTTCTCTAACATAGTACCGATACCTTGATAATGATTCCTTAAGATTGTTTAAACACTAAGAACATACTATTTTGATAAGGTTGAGCAGGTTTTTTTTTGGAAAAAAAACGGAAGGAAAAGTTGGAACTTTTCCTTTATCAACACCATTCTATAAATCCTTAAATTTTTCATTCTTAATTATTTGAATTAGGAACTTAGTCATGTTAGGACAAAGATGAGTGAATCAGGTTAAGAGTATCATGAACAATATTCATTTCACCAAGTGGAAAACAACAATAAATAGTATTAATGGGACTGTACCGGGCGTGCATCACAGTCACGGCGACATGAAAGAGCCAGCATGGCTCTTACAGCGCAGGAACCTCAAACAATCACCGATTCTTCACTAAACACGTACAGCGCAACGTTTATTAACTTACTTAACCCACTACGTTAACACGCACCATTTACCTATTGATTACACCAACGATTCATCAAACTTTATCAAACACGAACTACACTTTACACTAATCACAAAAATCGGTGTGGATTTCTTCCACAAACTGTACACAAATAAACCAACACCGAGAGACTACTTGCGAAACGATATGTCAACTACTTATGTCGATCTATCGCAAATATTCCAGAAATTAATACTACTTTTCCTAAACTTTACACGTATTTACAACAATGTATTAAATTCACTGCTGGAATATAAGTAAACGAAGATATTTTGCGTCTTTTCGGAAGAAATACCATTAAATTAGACCGAAGTACGACTGTACGAACTACCGCTACTCAAAGCTATCGAAAACTGGCACAATATTATTGCCAACCCAAGAGATAGAAAAATATTTCAGCTGACAGTGATGTGACAACTGACATTTCTTGTGATAACATCTTAAAATTTAATTTTCTACTTTTGTTAACGACAACCTGTCATAAAGGGACCATTCTTATCCGAAATCTTTATTCAAATGTATTATGTACTTATCGAAATAAATAAATCGAAAATAAATGATTTTATTATACTATCGTGAGTTGAATAATATGTATGAAGGCTATCTAGAAATCCTGCTACACATAATTTTCATGTTGTCGAAGTTTGTGTACCAAAAAGGTTTCTAGAAATTTTAACAATATATAGTTATGCGGCATGCCATCATAAAGTTGTTGAAAGATAGCAGATGCGTTACTCAATCCAGCTAATATCACCCGAAAGAGGGTTCTCTCGGGCACCAATGGTGAATGGTCTGACTTCAATGTGTTTTGGTTGAAGCTATAGTAGATCACTACTCCACAGATTTGAGCATAGGTACTGGGGATAGTTGAAACGATAGCTGTTCTCTGTTCTTTATTTATGAGCACGTTTAAAAGCATTCTAAAAGTACAAATAATATGGCAATAAGTTTTTATAAAGCCTTGGCGTGCTCTCTTTTTACTTGTGTCTCTTCAAGGTGAATGGTACACTGCACTGGCACCAGGGGTCCATTGAGTTCTTCTATCCTTCTTCCACGTTTTTAACCATGTTTCATACCTCCTATTTTAGTACGCCGTTTTATAATTGGTAGCGTAGTGAAATAATGATCGGCTAGCTAAGTAAAACAGGCAATGACTATCAGAAAAAATGACAAATGAAAATGACTACAACATGAATATTAGACAGTATGTAATTTCTTTTACTGAACTTTTCCCTAATGATGATTACTAACATTAACTGTTATTATAGATCTTCATCTTTGAGTTGCTAAGGTATGTACCTTTTCATTTAGCTATTTTTAGCTAGTTTTATACCAATAAAAAAAATTAATTAGGCTTACATTAAGCGAGATGATAATTAGTATTACGAGACCATAGACCTAAAAAAGCGTTTATTTAATAATTTCAATACTATGTGAATGATAGATATCTTTGCTTTATCCTTGTCAAGCCACGTCAATCATACACTACCTGCTCTATAATAGTGACACCCCAGTCCATATTCAAACAAGGAAATATTATTAAGAATATCTTGTTACTCTTTATCTTAGAAGATAACTATAAATAATTTCATTTTTCTTTTCTTTTTTAAAGACAACGCTCACTACAAATAAATCCTGAGTCGCGGGGGACTTTACAAACACATGAAACGGACACATAGGACACCCAGAGTCAGAACAACAATTTGTGGATCACACAAAGTGTCGTACCATGTGGAGACCGGACCCACAACATTCAGCGTGGTAGTAAGCGGCGTGGCGACCGCTTAAACCACTAAGCCATCCGTGCAGTCATTTGTTACCAAAGATTTCGAAGCAGGTCATCGACGCAGCTTAGCATTGCCACAAATTCTACTATTTTAGTAAGTTTTTATTAAATAACTATAGGATAATACATGCACGAGGCAATGTTGTAGTACCAAATTAAATAGTTTTTAACCATGATATAACTAATAAATAATAATATATTTTTATATATTTTAACACATCTGGACGAATGAAGTTACAAAATATAAATGTATTTTTTTCATTGTACACTGACTCCAAAATAGATGGCGCTTACTTTCATCAAAAAGTTAATTATGTTGCTATGATTGTCTTTAGTGTTGAAATGAAAGACACAGTAAGATTTATAATCTGTTATTTTGAGTAGGTAGATATTGTATTGAGAACGTCCACATTCTATGCAGCTAAACAGACAATCAAGAAATACAATTTTAATATTACGACTAAACATTCTTATGTGTAGCGACAGCTAATTATAAACTTTATAATATAATATCGACAATAATAAAAACTACTATACAGTCCATCTACCTAAATTATGCTACAATTAATATTGTTCAAAAGATCAAACATCAGTCAATAGCAAGACTATTCATGTGAAGAATCAAGCTCAAAGTAATTGAATTATTCACTAAATAAACGAACCCTGTGGAACACAATATTTTAAAAAACACCTTATTAATTGCCACAAATTGTGGATTCCCAATCACATATTTAAACGCACTTGAAGGCACGAAAAATAAATAAATAATTAAAACAACTAGAACAATTGTATCCCAATGACTTTCACTTGCATTCACACTTCACACGTACAAAGTATGATATTGTATTTTTTGGTCCAATCACACCACTAGTCTTATATATTTTTATTTAGGAGAAGTATACTACCGGGTAAGCTGAAGGGACCGAAACGAGATCTAATGTCAACGGCCCTCACAGCGAAATAGTATTTGAAGCCAGCCATAAATTGGGTCAATGTACAAGCCATTGGCAAAGGTAAAGCTTTAACATCTCCAATTTTTTTCCACAGTGACGTACTAGGTGGCTGTGAGGTCTCCTGATAGGCATATAGCTGATAGCTAGCGATTTCTTCGTAACTATCTTCTAGTGAGCTCTCTATTTTCCATGATATGACTATGCCATTTTCCACTTTAGATAGTTTGAGGTCTGGTGCTGGAGGTAACGATTTCCAATTCGGTGGCTGGTACTGTTTCATAGCACATGGTAAAGGCGCTGGGTGTCTAGGTGCTATTCTGGCCATTCTCGCTGCATTAGGGTCACCTCTCGCTACTTGAGGTGTTCTCGGCCTTATACCTGAAAATATATTTTATATTACCCATTAAATTCTTTTTTTTGAAATACTTTGGCATAAATTACAATTATGTGGAATATGTGACTTACCCGATGCTGGAACTGTTTTTAACATAATAGTTTGTCCCGGCCTCAAAGCTTGATTCTGTGGTCCACTAATGGGGATGTACACTTTCCTCGGACTGTTTACGTTAGTAGCAAATGGTTGCCGCTGGGGTCCCATTAAGTTTTGTGGTGGTACTAATCTAACCGGCGGGACTGGCGAAGTTTTAGGTCCGCCGGGCATTTTTGTTGGAGGTTCATCATCGGTCAAATCCACTGTCATTGATGATGCCACTTTATTGTGCTGTCTTTTTTCCGCTCTCATAGCAGGCGAAGGGGTTTTAATTATTCCGTTTGGTGGATTGATGTTCTTAACAGGGGTGGTGTTCATTTGATTGATCTGAGGTATAGTGTTAGGAGTTTTCAATGCAGGGTTACTTGCAGGGACAAGTCTCGGAACTGGTATGGTCGTGGACTGGCTAACTTGTTTTTGTGAGCGAATACCTTGACCTAAGGGCATCAAGTTTTTATTCTGAGTATTATTTAAGTTTTTGTTGTTACTATTCTGCAGTTGTCCTTTCTTTCGAGGGGGTATCTTCTCCATATATACTTGCATGCCTACAGAACGGGTTATCTTCAGAGGTGCTATTGGCGTGCCACCACTGCCTTTCTTCTGTTCCTCTTGTACAGATTTTAAAACTAGTTGAAGATCTCTGTTCTGCTTTGCAAGCATCATAACTTTCTTTCTATACTCGTCGAGACCGTGTGTCATAGATTTCAATTTATTCTGTATATCATTTAAATTGCTCCGGTCAACTATGCCTTCTACTATTTTCAATATGCAGAATTCTTCTAGGTCATCCCTTGTCATATCAGATAGTTTCTTTTTGGCAGTTTTCACAAAATTACCTGGGATCAGAGGCGGCAGGGGCTGATCTTTGTTAATTTCAGACTCAGGAGTTTTCTCCCTAATATCAATTTCCATATTTAAATCCTTGCCTGCGGCCGAGGGTGTGGTGGTTTCTGGAAAGGGATAAAGTAAATAATTATTATTTTTATAAAAAAAGTATTTTATTACTTAAATTTAGTTGTCTAGAAACAAATACCTTACCATGTCATCGGACACATTCGACGCAGGTACCAATATCATATTATCAATTTCTATTACCGAAAGATTCAGGGGTCGGGGTCACCAATATTGCGTATTCGCAATTATAGACAAGGAAATCTTGATTTATTACTAAGTTGGATATAAACACTGCGGATTGACTGTGTCTCAACAATAATATTTTCACTTATATAAGTACTAAATAATAACAAAGGATTAAACTATTTTCTGAGGTGGGAAAATTGCTAAATCACGAAAGTCACGAATGTTAGTTGAACATTTTACTTTATTTACATGAACGTGATTCCTTTATTATTACAGAACCTGGATGACCGAGTTTTGCTTAGTTTTTTTTTTGGTATTTTTTTTTATAAATGAAACCTAGCTAGATCGATTAATAGACCCCGAAAGCCTCTGCATACTAAATTTCATGTAAATCGTTGGAGCCGTTGCCGAGATTCAGATAATATATATTAGTATTACATTTCCTATTATTTAGCACGTATGAAATGTTGGCCATTAAACACATGCCATTGAGTTAGTTTTTAACCAATTTGAACATTTTGTAGGTTAAAAAAAGAAACATGAATACTCATTAAATAAGAAAGAAGCAAAGTTTTGAACAACCATTAACTTTTAGTACAGGAAAAAATCCAAGTCATTTATTTATTGTCATACTAGCTTTTACCCACGACTTCGTCCGCGTGGTGGTCAAAATCAGATATCGTAGAGGATACAAGGTTATGGGTATATTCTAAATACAAACTTGCACTATTTTTTTAAGGTAGTTTTGAAAACGCTACTACCAAAAATGACGAAGTTTCATGTAAATTTCCAACAAGTCTTAGAGGGTCGATCTCCGAAGTGGACGAGCTACCTATGTAAAAGTTTATTACTTTACGGAAATAAAATTCGGACTTGTTCGAATTGCCCTATCGATTACAGTATAAATACTACAGTTTGCTCACTGCAATTCATAAGAAATGTAAAGAACTCACCTTCCTTATCGTGTGACTCAAATACAGTTTCTTGTCCAGTTTTCTCATCATTTCCTAAATCTGTATTTGTATCCGTTTGTACAGTGGTTTCTTTATTTACTTCAGTATCTTCAGGTGATTTGGTTTCAGTCTTGTCTGCATCTTCATCAATTACCATGATATCATCATCATCTTCGAGATCAATACATTTATTATTTGCGTCTTTTGGAGGTTTTGGTGAGTCGACCTTTGGAGGTTTCGTCTTCTCAAAGCTCATTTGAGGAGGATCTTCATCATCATCAGATAAAATATCAAGTGTATTAGATAATTTACAAATAATGGGTTTGTCTATGATATTTACAGTGGTAACATTAACAGGGGTGGAGCGATTCACGTCCGTATCATCTTTATTACTGCTTTTAGGTTCTGCCGCGATTGCAGCAACTTCTGTTATTTTTTCTACTTCCATAAATGGTTTATCAATATGAGTATTAATTGCGTTTGTATTTGATTCTTGTACATCAGACTCACATTTTGAAGTTTCACACGTCTTTTCAGTATTTACATTTTCCTCAGGCTCTATAGTATTCTCGGTTTCTTTTACTTCTTTATATGATTCCGTTTCGTTTTTATCTTGATCCCCAGCTTTATTTAAATCTTCAATGATTTCAATATCATGAGTTTCACTAGAAGGCGAAACTAGTGTATCTGTTATATGTTTCGTACTTTCAGTCTCTTTCTGAATTTCTATGTCTATTATATTATTGCTTTGTATAGAATGTCCTTCTGTCTCTTCTGCAATGTCAATATGACCATTTTCATCTTCTATTATTGCCGGGGTAATTTTAGTTTCTTCTACTACTTGAATTTCATCTTCTTTTGATTGTTCTGTTGGTGACACTATATTTTTTTCACAGGCGAGAGAATGATTTGCCTCTAGAATAACTCCTACTATTTCATTGTTTTCTGTAGTTTTTACTGATTCTGTTTCATTTATTTCATTAATTGGAACGTGGGAACTGTCTGACTCATCAATAACATCAATTTTATCATTGCCATTCAATGATGATACAATTGAAGATTCATTTTGAACACTGACTGAATCTGTTTTCTCAATTATCACTTCGTCTTCCTCTTGCGTTGTTAATTTGTGTGTTTCCTTTTTGCCCTGAATGGGACACGTTTCTTGACTTTCTGACATGACATGATCAGTATCATTTTCCTCTATCGGCGTTTGTAGTTCTACATCTTTTACACTTTGTTCAGGGTTAGATTCGGCTTCTACTTTAACTTCTTCTTCATCTTTAATTACATCAACTACAGCAATTTCCTCGATTTTTATAAGTTCTTTTTTACCATCATCAACCTCATCTTTGACAGTTACATCATGTGTCTCGAAAATTACATTTTCAGTTACTTCTGTTCTGGGTTCTTCAACAATACTTATTATGTCATCTTCTAAGTAATCTTCTTCTAATGTTTCTTTACTTTCATCAATTTCCATAATATCATTTTGAACTAAGTCTGAGCTATTGAAACCGTTTAGAGATTTTTCATTTATTTCTTCATTTTCATGTGTCGGAGTTTCACTCAATTCTACCTCATTGTTACTTGTGGTCATCGGCACATCAGCTGAAGTGTCATCTATTTCAGTAATAACTTCTTCCCTTCCGTCACCTTTAGAATCTCCGTTTAAGTTTAAATCCCGTTCATTCCCATTGACTTTTTTGTCTTGGAGATTGTCAATGTCTACATTTAAGGTCTTAAGATCATCCGTTTTATTATTTTGTATATTCTTAACGGTGGCCATGTTTATTTCTATATCTAAGGTAGTTTCAGGTTCGAAAATTAATTGCATTGTTTAACATTTCCTTGTATGTGACTCCAAAGATCTCCCTGGAACAAGATACAATAAAGAATTTAATTATTATACCACACTACATGTTTCTTTGAGTATTATATAAAACAATTTTAAGTACGAGAACTGTAACATTATATTAGATTAGGAATTCCCAAGAGAGCAGTGAATGATTTTAATAAAATTGAATTAGAAGACAAAATAGTAAGACACATCATTACATTTACTATGCGTTAAATCTTTAAGTGACTTCAAAAAGTATTTCTATATAAATAATCTTCTTCTATATATATAAATTGTGCCCTATGTTTAATATTTAAATATTACAATAATAAACTATGTAAAGTATTTTATGGTACTATAAAACTATCCATAACTACAGAATATCTGAAGGCAAAACAGTTTTAAGATGATGATGCTCATTAAAATGAAGACACGATGATGATGATGATGACGATGATACGGAGGTTGGGGAATGTAAGCAACAGCTCGGAAACTACACATTCTAAGAAAATAACCAACTCAAAATTTTACATAATAAATCTCTGAGTGTATGAAATAACGAAAGCGCAGTTTGCGTAAGACTCAGCCCTTCTCACAATATCATTTCTAAGTAATTTCTATAATGTCATTGTTTACAATATTGAATTACAACTTGTGCTTAAAAAAATGTTTTAATAATTGCTAATTTTTAGAACCCCGAAATGCCATTAGGATCAAAAGAAGCAAGATATGTACAAATCGAAAACAAGTTTGTTTGATATTCAACCTTGTTTTTTTTATTGTAGATTTCTGAGAGGCTTTTGAGCTAACTCACTAACTTTAGTTTTCATAGACACACGAAGACAAACGCATGGTATAAATAATACCGAGTTATTTCAAAGACTATACTCTCATGAGTCAATAAAATTAAACACTCATTCGTTGTCAAATATTAGATACAAAAAGTAAGAATTACTTAAAGAAAAAAATCTGCAACAATCAAACTGCAAAGATGTCTTCAGTTGTAACCTTTAAAGAGACTCATTCCCTGTAGCTAGAATGGTACATAATCTCATGGGATTACCCACTTATCCAACAATAAATCTGTAATATCTTCTTCTTCTTCTTATCTATCTTTTGTTCAGCTCCAGACAAATTACTTCATTTAGATATATTCAATTATTTTGAAGTAACTGAGATAAAGGGGCTAGATCATAATGTTCACGATAAAAATTGGTCTGCGCCAAAACTGGCGCACCCGATCAATGCGGAACCGTCTCCAATATGGCGAGTTATAGTGTGTAAATTATAAAGAGGCGCTGTAGGTCAATTAACAACAATTCTAAATTGATCTCACGCAGACCTGATCATTACAAATCTGACAACACACATCCACCAGAAAACAATTTTCTCCAAGGTTGCTTTTAAGGTTTCCTGGTTTTTATGGCTTTATGGCAGACAGGTCAACCGATCGTAAATGACTACAAGAGTGTTGCCGCTACTAAGAAGATCTGTTCAGCCGTTCTGGCGTGATTGAGTATGAAACATCCATTCAGATGAATTTGTAAGATTTATTGAGTTTTAATTGGCTTCTTCTCTGAAATTGTTTGCCGTTAAGAGTATAATACTTGGCAAATTGCCATGCAATTTTTTAACATTTTTTTATTGTACATTGTAGATTCTTATTTTCCTTTATACAGATACTACTTTACATCAAATAAGGTTACATTCATTTCATCTTCTACGACTTATCTACTTCGTTCATTTATTTGTTAAAACTAATGCACATACTAAAAAAAGCGGATTTAATGCCGAAGGCATTCCCTGCCAGTCAACCTTCGGATGAAGCTGAAAAATGTAGTAGGTGCGAAAAAGTTTAAAATATTTATGCATGAACTCTGAACGTGTGGTGACGGATTAAGAATACAGAGTGTCACCACCCCTATTTATCCCGTGGGTGTCGTAAGAGGCGACTAAGGGAGCGAAATACGCAGGACAACAGCACTGCAGAGAGAAGGAAAACTTGACAGAAACCCTATACCAACCCGTCTGGCCAACGTGATGATGTTAACGACTACGTCAAATAAAACGCCCAGAAAAACAGAGGCCAAGAAAAAATTTACAATTTAAAAAGTCACTTTGTTACGAAAAGAAAAAAGGACAAACAAAAAATATGAACACGAAGTGGATAAGGGAATGTTCATAGTACTAACCGGGTTGCGTATGATTCAATACTTTTTTTTTAAACAAACTCGGTACTGTTCGATATATTACTCCCTTCTATAGGACAACGAAATATAGCTATCGAACTTCAACCAGTGCCAAGTATCTGTCTCTCTATGTCTTGTGAGGTTCGATAGCTTGCCGAAGTTTAGCGTCTAAGCTGTGGATAGCTCAAGCAATTAAAAAATATTTCGAAGTTGGCAGTCGACATTCTAGTAAAATTTTCAAAATATCCGTCTAACATCCGATTACCGCCCGCTATACTTAATTTACAAACGTTCTACGAATTTGCAGACACATACCACTAGAAAGTAAAGTGATACGTCTCAGTAGCACATCTCCGATGGACTAAGGATTTTGCACATATTAAGTGACGGATTAAGAAAACAGAGTGTCACCATCCCTATTCATCCCTTAGGTGTCGTAAGAGCCGACTAAGGGAGCAAACTCTGTAGGACAACAGCACTGCAAAAAGAAGGAAAACTTGAAACCAACCCGTCTGGCCTCTTCTTACAATAGAGAAGAATCTCTGTTGTAAGGAGAGGCCTATGTCTAGCAGTGGACTGTCAGAGGCTGTTGATGATGTGACAAAAGATTAAAATCACAAAAGTAAAGAACGAAATAAGAAATTAGACGTTACAAGTATTAGACTGTTTGATATTTGCACTGAGTCATCTCAAGCATCCCACGTTCTTTTGACAAAGGTCGATTTTTCAAGATTACTTTGTTATTTTAATGACACTTGTACATTTAACCTCTGTATATGATTTGGCAAACGATAAAACAGATCGCCTGATGGTAAGTGACTATCACCGTCCATCGACTTGCAACTCAAAACACAAGCGAATAATAGGATCATAATATAAAATTCTTGTTTACACTTTTCCTGATTAAATACTTTCTTATAAGAAATTTTAAGCATCAATGAGGCGCATAACCATTTTCTTCTATTTTACTTAAAAAGCATAAAGAATCATAAAGAACAGAAATTCTCAAGGTCGGTGAAAATATTAATATCTTCGTGGTATATTAGTATCTTCTCTCCGTGGATCCATTAAACATGTGCATTGTCTAGTTTTTGTGTTACGGCTGGTTTTTTTGGAGTTCCGTGCCCAAAGGGTGCTATGGGAACCCTTTCACTAAACGTCTTTTTCATTACTATGCATACAGTCTGCTGTTATATCTCATCTACCATAATATGTAAACGTTCATAGAGATTGTGATGCAATTTTAACAATTAATAATAAAAATTAAATGGGAAAAATTACATCGGAATCAAAGATTTTATTTTGCTCAATCTCAATAATCACCAAAATTATGTCGACAAATGTAGGTTTTTAAATAGTGAGTAATACTACCACTACAAGTAATGGAAAAAAAAATTAAAGAGAGTTTCATCACAAAATAAGAAAAATATTGACATGTTGAGGCAGTCAACATTAAAATATTGACTGACTCTTTTAAACCAAAATAGATTTGTAGAGACTTGTAGTTTTCGTTGATTCTCTTACTATTGTAGTCCCTAGCTACAATAGTTAATAACAACAAAACACAGTAAAAAAATACAAAGCGACTCCCTCTAACTATAAGAAACTTGTTTTTTTTTGTGTGAAGAGAGTGTATACTACTCTGCTCTGGCTCTCTTGTTTCTTTCTCAGAAATATTTAAAAAGTAGATACATAAATATCTAATACAAAACGGTACGAAATATAATATAAACCCTTCATAAAATAACGCACTCGTCGCGCCTATTTTTGTATAATCTCACTGATAATGTGAGATTTTACATAAATAAGCCATTACAGAAAATACAAAAATATCATGAAATACACCGATACAATAAAATACACAAATGGGAATAAATATATAAAAAATTTTTTTTTTAATGAAATGAAAATGGTACACTAACGCCTTACAACTCAATGATTCATAGTGATGTGGTCATTCGAGTTACATTTATAAATTATATTTGATGACTTTTCTTTCAATTTGTGTTTACAGTAATAGTTAATGGCAGTAAAAGTCAATCATTGCTCTCTAAACATTTAATTATTTATAATGTACAGTTAATGTATAGTTACTGTAAATTACATAATATACAAAGAAAATATTTTTCGATAGGTACTTTCATTTTTTAAGCAGCGAGTATGTTTTTTTAGAATTTTATTAACAGCAATATTGAACAAATGGGGTGAAAAATAAGTATTGTACCAAGACATAAGCATTTTAGATTTAAAGAACATATTTGTTGTTAAACGAACCGATCGATTAAAAAAAAACATTTCAAGGAGCAACTCAAACATTGACTGATCACGACACGAATGGATTCTAGAATTATTAAAAAGCTTTTTAAATAGTTTTTTTTACAATGGGCATCTAAATGATACCTAATATTTATTTTTAAGTCAAATCACATCACATCAACAGCCTTTAATAGTCCACTGCTGGACATAGGCCTCTCCTTAGAAAGCAGGTTATGGCCTACTTTTAAGTGAGTTTAATATATTTATTTATGTTATTATTTATGTTTTTTTTTTTTCAATTTTATATCGATACACACATTACAACAATTGAATAACGCCAAGAAATATTTTCCTAGCGGTATTTTTGGTTACAACGTCTCTATGACAACAAGTACAAAATACTACTACAAATATTTTTCTTAATTAGGAACTTATACTGAGTAGGTGTATAGAATAATAATAAGTTGATAAAATACTACATTTGCATCAATAAAAATGTAGAAATCTAATGTCTAATCTGTACAATATAATAATAATATAAAAACTTCTATAAATATACTAAAATACTCATGCACAAGAGAGCAAATCAAAATGGCGGCCGTTCGTTTTACTGCGAAAAATACCGGAATAAATTCCCCACCCAGTGTAGTGCTGCAATGCAAGGCTGATCGCTAAGCTTATAAGGCGAAACGAGTGAACCTGTTATCGCATTCGCTCTTGGTGAGCGCGGCGTGTGCCTGACAGAGACGCACATACTCCCCGTGGACAATGAATACTAGCCGAACGTGATAGAAAGCTGATTGTGAAGCTATTGAACGAGAACCTAGCTGTCATGCTGCAAATCATTGTCGGAAACGACGAACTGTAGAAGTAGCAACATGAATAAATAATTAGTATGAAATGCTTTTTTAATTTGACTAGGTGACATGAACCTGTATCAGCGTATTTTAAAAATAGACTGTCAAAAGATTAATAATGTCTATGAAGACAGAAGACAAAAAATTAAAAGAAATATTAGGATATACGCAAAATTTACATGTCAATCTCAATAGAAAAACATTAAAGCAATAAAAGAAAAATGTGTTTCATTAAAGAGGCAATTTCTGCAAGCTGTGCAAACGATGTAATTCAGAATCAGAACAGAAATATCGATCAATTGAAGTGGGCGAAAACTCGTTCTGGTGAATTTGAGAGACTAAAACGAACCGCCAATCTCAAATAATAATCAGAAATATAATGCAAGAAAAAAATTACGAAAACAAGAAATGTGCAGGAGGTAATAGCATGTGACTCCAACTTGAAGAATGTATATAAGAATTAGGTGATTTGATATGATTGGTGACAAAACTGTGCATCATTTAAAAGATAAAGGAAATTGGTTCGATAGAATGGCCGAACGACCCTGACGGACTCGAACTGATTTCCTAGATTTTTATGTTTTATTATAAATTTACATCAACCCCTCCGATATTATACTTAATATATAATTTAAACATAAATGTATGTATTTAAAAAATAATTATAAATAGATATTAATCAAAACGTATCAAACAATGCATCAAATTATCGATAGATACTAAAGATCAATAAGTGCTGTAATCCCTTGGCCTAATTTGACAAGCGCCGTCAAAAATGTCACTGGTTACGAAAAAACACAACAACAACATCGAATTTGAATATCAACTGTAAACCAAAACAAGACAAGAAAATTTTAACAAAACAAATACATAAATCTAACTGTAATAATTACTATAATCAAACATAATAAAAGAACATAATCAGAATAAATACAAACGTCGTTCATTAACTTTGAATACAAAGAAAAATTTCAAATGTTTGTTTACTATTCACTCACCGAAATGACGGAGTAAGAGAACGCAGGAGTAGAAGAATTATAAAGAAGAACGTAAAACACGTCTACATACGGGTGTTCGGTTCCGCGTCCGAAACAACACTGACAGCAGACAGAGAGAGAAGAAAATGGCCGCCGTGAGCCGTCATTCCCAACGAGGATCGCAGACCGAACATGAACTAATAACACAGAGTAATGTTACTACAGAGAATCGTGTTTTGCCGCCGTGCAATATAACCGGCGGCCAGCTAATGAAACGTTTATATGAAAACCGTGTGCGAGTGAAAAGGATAGAAACAGCGTCGACAGTAAGGCTCAAATGCGGCTTCTACATTCGCGTATTACACTGTGCTTTATTACAGCGAGGTCACGTTACGATAATGGTTGTTCGTTCTCTTGCGTTCTACTTCTGTTTTAAAGAGGGTATTTTATGACCAGCTGTAACATTTTAGGCAGGAAAATCCACATCGCATAGTCACCTAATAGTGTATTTCTTCATTGTCGATATAGGTACTTAGGAATGAAAGTAAATAGCCATTTTCATGTCATGTCCAATTTGGCGAAATTGAGGAAAAAGTACCTGGATGCAAAAGTCTTAATTACAGTAGTAATAACAACAAAAATCCTGACAGCCAATGTCTGTCATTGCCTGTTTTCCCGTTTTATCCATCAATACCTACATTTGAAGGTCATTTTGTACCTTCCATTTCAATACAAAATTAGGTAGAGCACGTAAAACTATTTAGATTTTAATGACTAAATCTTAGGAAGGAAATATAGTTACTAAGAACAAAATCACAAAATAATAGCAAAGCATGTATTTAGCGGGCATATCGAGAAAGAACGTGCGACGTTGCCGCTCTTACGTAAAACTCCGTCCGAGTCGAGCCGAGTAGGTCGTTTGACTCGTTGCCGAGAACACCCGATCAGTTCCGAACGCACTCGACCTAACAGAAACGTCAGTAATACGTCATCATATAAATAGATGATGTATACTGTATACCTACAACATAATGTCCAAAATACTTTCAATACCAAACCTAAAGTTTTCAATAAAAGGCCGGAAAAGGATTAAAATCTTCTTTATATCCTAGCCAATGAAATTACGTTTTGGCCTCAATTACATTAAAACTAAAGTGAATCTAGCTCAGGTGATTCATCAGATGGTCCTCATCACACCTCTTATTTACCTACTACCGAGAGTTAAATGCTACACGTTGAAGTATAAAGACATGTTTTATATATTTTTTAATACATTATTAGCAATCTAATATGATTACGTAAGCATTATGCCTACCTATATCATTTCTTTTTATATAAGTAATACTATCCGTGATAAGATAATTCCGGTAGTAGCAACTGGCCGATAGTTTAAAATTCAAATCTAGTCTTGTATTATTCTACTACTGGCGTGGTCTTTTTCCAACACTGCTTCTGCAAGGTACTTACTGTTGTTAGTTTAAATTACCATAACTTTAATGTTTTATGAAAAATACACAAAACGACATATCGAACATCTACAAGTAGATGATATTATTGTCCAAATCAAATTATTCAAAAATAAATATTTTTACTCTGGCCTATCTCTTTTTGAACGAAATGTAATTTTGTTTACATCCAATTTAACAATCGACTTTAGTAACGTAATGTTCGTAATACAATGCCGTCTCAGTAGAAGCTTACACTATGATTGATGTTAGCGCGGACTCTAATGTATAAGCAACAATCGGACTTTTCATCCAAAAAAGACCACAGAAAATCGAGATTAACGGCAGCATCAACCCACTGATGATATTATGGATGATATCTGTTGCAAAGAAACCGAAAAAATCAGAGAAATTAAAAAATAATAATTCAATTATGACAATGTTTACCCTTATAATTTATCAGAAGACAAGACAAAATAGATAAATAGCCAAGAGCGAAAGAGATAAAGTGATTTACGTCAGAATTATAAACGGTAATGGTAGGTACTTTATTTTCTTGGCAGTAAACAAAATGGCTGACTACATGAAGTCGGCTCATTGATATTTATAACGCTTAATCACAATGTAAGCTACCTATATTTTAACTATTAACCAGAATAGCAATTAATAGTTACGTTCGTATTAATGTAGGTACCTACTTATATGCATTTTACAGCGTTACCAAAGATCAGCAATGGTCTAAATAAGACTAAGTATTAGACTCTCAACATCTATGTGAGGATTAGTATCGCAAGGCAGCAATAGCAGCCTACCAGAGTATTATAGTTAGAAAAATGACAGATGAAAAACATATTCTATTTGCTGAAGAAACCATGCAGAATCAATAGAGCAGGGTACCAAGACAGTAGCGGCAGAAATGTAGTCTGCTGCTCTGTAGCATATAAAAGTGACAGCGCCCAGTAGCGGTTTGGCAACGTCGCTAAAGGCAAGTTCGTGACGGTTCTGCCAGCAAGAATATCAATGTGTAGGTATTCAATGTCATGCGCGATAATACCACTTTTAGCCGGTTTGAACAATGAATATTGTACTGCGCATGCAGTTTTTGGGTAGACTGGCAGAATTCGTTGAAATTAAAATGCCAACTTCAACAATCATTGAAAAATTGCATTAAAAACGCTGTCCACCAAGACGAGAGCATCGAGCGTTGCCGCCATATCATCGTTATAACCATGAATTGTAAAAAACTGCGACGTTGCCAGGTGGTCATATCGACTTTACCGTCTATCTCTATATTGTACCCATATTTCAGCTGCATATAATGCTGCACTTCTGAGTTAAGTGTGGACAAACTACAAGGTAAATAAAAACGCTATATTATTCAAAATCTTTCAAGTTAGTGGTTTTGTGACATCTATAGGTACTATTATTTTTGTCTTCTTGAAATTTAAAGGCTTCTAATCTCAAAATCAATATTATGAAATTATGACAGAGTCAATTTAATAATCTGATCCAGGCATGTAAAAAATATAGCTTGTGTTGTTTATAGTCAGAAGATTAAGTCCATTACAGCGTTTTTGGCAATGCTGTAACGAACTTAGCCTTCTGACTAAATAATAAATTCGCCGTGCATCACTTCCATGGTCAGACCAATCTGACCATAGAAACTGTACTCTGCAAATTTAATGAAGTAGGTTCCTACTTACCTAAATACATTAAGAAGAATGCATTCCAGAAGTGCTCTACACTCTGAACTAAATAAATGCAAACCTCTAGTAGGTCTCTAAAAGCTGAACTTATCAGTAGGTACCTAAGCAGAATGTGTAGCCAAGCGGTAAACCAGAATGAGAGCGCTGACCGCGAACGAACGCTCTCGAGGAAAAGAAGATTGTACAAACACAATATACCTACCTACCTATGTCTACACACTAAAATGTTTATGTGTGGGTATAACGACGATAACACGAATGACTACGATGTGGCACGAAAAACGCCATTTTGTACAACCGTTGGTCGACTCGTGAATTGTAGAGAAATCGTCACAATCGTTGTCTCATTCTAACACGTGAAAACGCAATTTAAGATAACTTTTTCCATGCTTACCTGTTTCATCTATTTCGCCTATATCCTTCTTTCTTCTAGTTTTCCATGCTGAATGTGGACAGTTCCACCTACAGGTAGATCTTAAAGATTTTCTTTTAAAAAACACCAAAACTCAATCTATTCTAGTCTGATTTATTTGTCAAACAATGTTTCATATAATAGCTGTTTTGTTTTTTCGAATTCTATTTGATTGTATTTTGTTTATTTTCGTAATTTGAAAAGTGATTCGAACTCTGTCAAAAATAAGTTACAATATAAACGCGGCTAACTGACAAATTCTTTGATGATTGGCTGTATTTTATAAATACACATTTCAAAGAATACCAAACTTTATAAAATTATCATGCCACGTAAAGTACTGTACTCGTACATAGATTTATTGAATTTAGTAGGTTTTGTTGACTTAGAAAATTTTAATTCATATTTTTTTTCTAATATTTACTACTTTTTTAATTAGTCCCGAAAACTATCTACCACCAATTTTATTTTTCTTTGTTACTATTAATTAGCTATATTATTTCTTTGCGCATGGAGCAAGTCCTTAACAAATTATTAACTACTTTTGGTTTTGAAATGACAGTGGTTGGTTTCTATTGGAAAATTGTAATTTAAAATGTATCGTAAACCTTTTATCGACAGACCCACAACTCAACCATTGTAAAATACTTTTTCTCTACTAGTGACATCTACAAAACTGTAGAAACTGATAAACACACGTTTAATCATCAGTTTGAGAACAAAAGTCATAGATGGCAGGAAAATAGATTTTGTATTTTAAATCAATATTTTAATACTGAAATAAGTTTCAATTGAAAATATTAATAGAATTCTAAGACAATATTGAGTTACAGAGATTTTAAAAGTTATAGTTTTTAAGTAATTCGTTCTATGCAACATGCTGTCAGATAGTTTCTTATTTGTCAAAGACACTTCTTAGCATTGTCACCAATAATTGAATTTAACCCCAAACTTAGGAAACATTGCGTCAATGATCTCAAATGAATTTGAAATTTGGGTTTTTTAAATATTAAACATAAATTAGAACTTATTAACCATTTCATTTTTTTAAATGTTTTGTTAAGTCTTTTGAATCTGCTACTAACATTTAGTTGAACCAGCTCATGCCCGCAGATTCTTTTACTGCATCTCGTCAATGTAGATTTAGTCAATCTATCTATCATATAATCGTTCAGACATTCTGATAAACATTCATCCATCAAAACTTTTGCATTTATACAGGTAAGATTAAAGAAAAACATAACAGTTAATATTTTATATCTTCTTCTTTTTATACAGAAGAGCCATTATAGAAGAGTTTTTGAAGTGATTACTTCTTATGGGCGGTTAAACAGCTTCGTTACGTAACGCGTTACGGCGCCGGTCTGTCTGGCTTGCCTTTCTCACACGCATACGGCAGCGGTAGGCTGGCTCCTCCTTTCTCACTCTAACCCACAGCACTAGTCGTATTTTGGTCAGACGCTTTACATAAAATTTAAGTGATAACCTACGCTTTTCTCAAGTTAAATAATTTCAATATTAAATAGGTCAACTTAGATTAGTTTATCACTTCCGTCGGGCGTCCCGAGACGCACACATTTTTTTTATAAATCAGGGAGCAGGGGCAGAAAACTAATACTGGCAACACTGTAAGACTGAAACAGTTTGACATTGTTTTGATACTTTTGCTTTAGATCCTAATCCTAATAAATAAAAAGTTTAAGGTTATGTAAAATGTAAACAAAAGGATTGTCTACCTATAATGTAATAGAATGATATAAAGAAAACTTCTTTATTTGCCTTTAAAAATGATGTTCAATATTATACATCCTTCAAAGAAAGCAGCATATGTCAGTACTTTTTATTGTTAATTTATTTATATCGCTTATAACTACAGTTGCGTTTTTTTTTAATTTTTCTTAAAAATAATCTTTTTAGAACTTGTTACAATTTAACTGCAGAGTGGTGACGTTCTCAAAATGTTATTTAAGCGAGAGTTTATATAGTAAATACACAGATAATGAAAAAAACAAAATATTACAAGTTATAAACAATTCTGATATGGATACCCTTTCACGGTAAGTGCGTGAAATAAATTTATTAGTATATGTTAAAAATTTAAATATTCATCATCATGCTAACTCACCTTCGCTTTCCATGATAAATAATTATGCACATACACAGCAATTAGACTAAGGCATGCTGAAGAGTCAGCCTGTGAATGCATCCTGGTCGAAATGTCAGGTAGTTAAATTCCAAAGATATGTTACATTATTCATTTCAATTCATCAAATTAATTATTTATTTTATGTTATTGATAATTTTCGAATATATGTGTCTCCTGTAGGTATATACTTATATTTATCATTGCACACAACATATGTCTGACAGACATTTTTGACACAAATTAAAATTACACTAAGGATGGATATGCAAAACATTCAGAATTTATTTAAGAATATATAACCAAATCAAACAGAAAACATGATTTTATCAAATTTTCAACTGCAATTAAAAAGTGATGCTATGAGCACATAAAAAAAACATAAATTATTACATACGCTACATTAAATTTATAGATTGAGTTTTCTGGTCAAAATGTAAACTACACTATTGAATAAAGTATGCTGGAATTGTTGTAACCCTATTTTTTAATTATTTTTAGTTAAAAAGAGAAAAACATTGTTTATAAATTGTAGGTAGATAAATACAAAGGCTAATTAACAAATGCTAATCCGTTTTCTGTTCTTCTTTCAGTTATGACATAAGTAAAGTAAAATTGAAGAAAATTGCAGAATATCGGACCAATAATGGACAGATCCAAACACTATCTGACATAGAATATGTGGAAGGATTCTCTGAGAAATCTGCCAAGAAACTATTTACTAGTATATTAAATGGATCATGTAACGAAAAAAATACTTCTAGCAAGATTAAAGGACAGATTTTACATCCCAATTTAAGTCACAATTTAGTTAAGGTAAGGCTAGTTTTTTAATATTGCTTTATATCTATTACCAGATATAATTGTAATTGCATTTAACTAATAATTTTCAAATGAAATTAATTGCAAATAAGTGTGGTATATCTGTGTGGTGACGAATTAAGAATAAAGACTGTCACCACCCCTATTCATCCTGTGGGTGTCGTAAGAGCCGACACTACCAGGAGCAAAGTTTGCAGGACAACAGCACTGCAAAAAGAAGGAAAACTTGAAACAAACCTTATACTAACCCGTCTGGCCAGCGTGGTTTGATAGGGCAATCTCCATTCCATTCCATCCAGGAAACGCCTATGTCCAGCAGTGGACTCTCAGGGGTTGTTGATGATGATGTAGGAAAACCATGCTTCAACACAAATAGACTGGTGTGACCAGAGTGATACGATACGCATAAAATAATTATTGTTTATAGCACATGAGATGCTTACCTATAAGTAATTGTAACACTATGCCACTTCATACTCATTGTAATATGTTTTTAAAATGTTAACCTATGTATACAATTGTTGGTGAGCCAATCAAATAAATAAAATAAATAATCTGCACTGCCACTGCATGGATGACGTAGTGGTTTAAGTGGTCGCCACGCCGTTTCCTACTGCGACGAGTGTTGTGGGTTCAAACCCCAAATGGGACGACACTTTGTGTGATCCACAAATTGTTGTTCTGAGCCTGGGTGTTCTTTGTGTCCGTTTCATGTATGTTTGTAAGGTCCCCCGCGACACAGGATAGAATCCTAACACGGTAGTTGTCTTTTAAAAAAAAAAAAAAGACTGTTGAATACAAATAAATGTTTCTAACTGGTGTTGTTGTATTTAAATTTATACATCTTCAAAATTTTTACAGAAATTTGATACGAAAGTTGCCCTTGAAAATAGGTTTCCCCCAAGTAAAGAAAAAAATGGTGAACATAGTCTTTTATTTTTTCAGGATTGTCAGAATGTTTTAAGTGTGTATGTAACAGTTAACTCCGTGTGCTGGACCCTTGTCAATAAGAATAATTATGAGGTAGTGGAATGGCAGTATTTCGGCATAGATTATCCCGAAGGCAAGAGGTTTCAGATAACTGACATATTAAACCTTGTAAGTATTATGTAGTGGACCATAAATCCTTCAACCAGACCTAATGACCATGTCTAGCGTACTTTCATGTGCCGTTGTCGTTGACCCAATAAAAATTGTATACAACTTCTATAGCGATGCTAAATCAGTAGTTAACATATAAGATACTACATAAGTATCTTCGGTAGATGGCGCTAGATCGCCAACCACTAAAATATACATTGAATTAACATAAAAAAAAGAACAAATTTACCATCCCGATTCAGCACATTCAGGCAACCAATACGTTATGGTCAAAACCTACAATGATTTGGATTTTTCTTAGTTTTTATAAATTATGTAGCAGTAGACCACTACATAATCTATAAAAAGTAAAGTAAATATATCAAAAAACGCTGCTACAGTATAAATGACTGCTCTGCCAAAACATTGTACAGTGCTATAAATATTAAAGTTTATGTCACCAGGCTTGGCGTATTACCCAACAATTGCCCACAGCAGATATTTACGTAATGAAAGCGGAGGCGACAACACTCAGAGCGGCCGGCAGCGATCCCAACAACCCTAAGGTCCTGGCTGTTAATTTGCAGAAAGCGCAGATGGTCTCCATGATTGTCGCCCTAATTAACGCCAGGAGTCATCAACAGTGAGTAAAACAAATATGTAATATTCTATATTAAGTACACAGGAGACGGTACTGCTGACCCCTCGTGAAGGTTCATGCATTCATTCATTTCCTTTCAATTTATAAAAGAGCTACTTTTCCCCTGCCATTTTTTTTTTAACTACTTGCGGTGCGTATTATTACCAGAGATCGGAATAGGTAGAGTATATTTGCCTGAAGTTTAAGGCACTAAGTAACACCGAGTTGATGATACCTCCTCTAAAATTGCGTAATCATAAATATAACGAACAAATCCCGGGATTTAAGAATTTTTCAAATTACTTATTGTACTTTGGATGCATTAAACCGAATTTATGATATTGAAGCATTTTATTAAGTTTTTAAAGTTCCGTACTATCCTCATCCTGCTGTTAGAAAGCAACTGTTTTATTTACCGGGAATTTCTCGATCTTCAGGGGCAATTTATTTCTAGGCTGCTATGAAGTTTTTCCTACTCGTACTCCCAAACAGATTTCGTTAAACTTATACACATTTGCACTTTGAATCTATTTTTAATGGCGTTCTCTAGCGCTGGGCTTTGTACTACTTTAGTCTCTGGCGAAAATTAGTCATCTCCTCAGAAAGACCGCCAATTTAATGCATAAAAAATAATATTTTTTAATGTTTAATTTTTGCTTCGGTTCTTCTATAAGTGGTTTGTATTATAGGTGATACAAACCACTTATACTCTCACTTATGCCCTCTATCTATATTTATCACACTTATAAACTCGCTTCTTTTGTTTTAAAGTCTGGTGAAAGTTGTCTTGTCTTATTTGTTTGTTAGTTATTAATTAAGTGTATACCGGTGTGTCTAATTTTTTTTCTTATTCTTTCTATTGCAGTGTCTTCCTTTAGAGTTAAGAGCTATGCAGTTTTTTCAAATGGTATCGAAGTTGTAGTGTTGTACATATGTAACGACCTTGATTGTTTGTTTTTAGATCGATCGATGATGAGAAGGATGATACATTACAACAAAAAGTATACTTTTTGAGGCCCACCCTTCCGTACAGGTAAGCATGTGATTTGATAATTTTTCTTTACACACTTCTGAAATAATTTCAAGATTCAAACGACGAGTGACGTGAACGAGTCGGAGAAAGACATTCTGTGGTTACAGAACTACTTTAGTACTTACATAGTATAATGACAAAACCATAGATGGCGCTAAACCAAATTTTATAATTTTTGTAAAACTAACCGTTTCATCTGGCATACGATGTTGCCACACAAACAAACTTGTATGTTACATGGCAAAAATTTGTAAATGGGATTTAATTCTAAGGCTGTATTTCTATCCTTAGTGATCCTAACTGCCAAGCCAAAGGTCGTCGGTTTTATTCCCACCCAAGACTAATTGCGCGATGAACACAATAATTTATTCTATGTTTACTTACAAATATATAAGTATGTTTAACAGCAGTCTGGTTACCATAGTACAGGCTCTGCCTAGTTTAGGATCAGACAGCCTCGTGTTAGATGTGTGAAGTTATTATTATTATTAAATTCGAATTAGACATATTGAGATCAAACAGCAGCCTACTCTCTTGACCATCACAAAACTAAAAAGGTGTTTTACAGGTACCGGAAGACAGTAAGATAATTCCTTATGTGTTAACCGCATCAAAATATTATTTTATGTATGAGTGAATCTCTTTAGAGAGGTTCACTCATACATAAAATAATTTTTTGATGCGTATGCATAAAATAATATTTTGATGATGAGTAATTTATGAGTTAACAAACAATAAAACACAGCTTTAGAGCTGTGTTTTATTGTCTGTTAACTCATAAATTAGACTTGAATTGATTAGTTTTGAAACTAGAGGTTCTTGATGTTTTGAAAAAAAAACATACTAACGCCATCTCTTATCATTTTGCAAAGTTATGTTTAGCGAAGATGTTTTCAAGAGAAATGCCAGGTTAAAAGCACTAATACTTGAATATAAAATTATAATGTAACATTCCTCAAATGGCAACCTCTAAATACAGTTGTAACCTCTTCATCTCGTTTCTTATTATAATTTCTCACACCTCCTATTGCTCTGATAGGGAGTCGAATGTTGGTTTTCAAATTTTATGTGCTGCATGTTTGACAGCTTGTTAGCATAAAAACTTTCTACAATCAATGTCTTCTTAAAATTAATGAACCTGAAAAAATACTTCTCAAGTTTCAATATGGATTTCTTTTTACACGCTTTATATTAGCTTCACTTGTATGTTTGTTTGTAAGTTTGTAACCGACTCCTTTGGGCGTGATTTTGACTGACTTTAAACGGTCAGAACTCGTTCAAACTTTGTAGATATATCGAGGACCGATGACAATACACTAATAAAAAAAAAAAATAGTTTTAACAAACTAAAAAACACACTTTCTATAGAAAACCAAACTAAAAATTGAAAATAAATTTGAAAAAAGCGTGGGGTGCTTTTTACTATTGACAACAGGCACCAGGCAGGTTTTTTTAATTCGGTTTTTTCTTTCGAATTTGGGTGTTTTATAGTAAAATATATATGTATTTACAAAAAAGTAAATAAGTATTCCATCAGTTAATTTAACTTTCATAGTACAAGCTCTGCTTAGTTTGTAACTAGATGGCGTTGTGTGTCAGATGTCCGAAAATTTTTAATTAAAATATTCTAAAAAAAGCTTGGCTAGTTTTTTGTACTATATTATTATAACAACTCTACTACCAATGAACTGAATGTCACCGCCTCACCGTCCCGCCCAGATCGTTGTCAGTCCCAGCCAAGCTTCAACTCATATGCCGGAAAGCACAACTGACAGCAACATACCAACGGTAATAAATGATACAGGGGATATTAAATCTGTTGTAATTTTTTAGGTTATATGGTACTCTCGTCGGCAATGAGAGGGTATCAACAGAACAAACAGTAACCATGCTCCTAAAAGAGTTAAGAGAGAGATCACCGAAGAACTTACACGCGTATGTTCCCGAGGAGCTGCAGGAGATGTTCAGATCTCAGAATGACCTTCAAAAAGACATGCTTGGACACTGTTTACTACTAAGTTTGACCTTCATGGACCTATGTATTTATAAAAACCAGGAGCGCGTCGCGAAGTTAAGTAAACGTGAAGATAAATAGTTGATAATGGTGCTAATTCTGTTGTTCGAAAACTCTCTAAACTAAACTAAAAATCACAAAAAATTGGTTAAGTCCTGTCAAGAAACGTTTCTTATTCTAAAAACGTTGTACTCGAACGGACTAAACTCATTTTTAGTGATTTTTAGTTTAGTTTAGAGAGTTTTCGAACAACAGAATTAGCAGCATTATAATATTTATTAAAATATATATTTTAATAAACTATTAATTGGAGTTTCATTAAATAATACATGAATACCTATCCTACAAGATGGTGCGACTTGGTCATATTACGTGATAAATTCCCTTGCTAGTGATAACAATGCCTATGATACTCATCACGTGTACGTGACATCTGTTCACGTTTTCGCCCTGACCCATGGCTTGTCACAACTGGTATCAAAGCCCACGCGAGTCCCAGATTCGGAAAGTCATGAGCCTTCACTATTAGACCTTCTACTGACCTCCGATCCGGACGGTTACAAAATCCAAAAGTTTATTTCAGGCTGGCTGAATGCCGTTCCAGGGATTTCCTTCCCAAGGAAGACTTGTTTCCCCGGATAGTGGTACCTAAGACGACGTGCGGTTTTTGGTCGGTTCATGTCCAACATAACCACCAGTGGGTTGTATCCGAGGGGATTTCCGCACAGTCAATAAAAAGGCTGGCTGAATGCTATTTATCCGGAATAAATATTTTAATTACAGTGACTTAAAAATTAGATTTTTTGCATTTTAGTTTTTCCTACCTACCAATTTTCTTTGGGATCGGTGGAATGTGTAATATTCATCAACAGCCTATCTACTCTCATCTCATCTACTGCTAAACATAGTCCTCACCTTAGAAAGCAGGTTTTGGCCTACTATACCACGCTGGCCAGACGGGTTGGTATGGGGCTTATTTAGTTTTACTTTTCTTTGCAGTGCTGTGGTCCTGGGTAGTTTCTCCCTTAGTCGGCTCTTGTCGGACCTATGCGATGAATAGAGGTGATGAAACTCCGCATTCTTAATCCGTCATCACACATACATAGTGTAACGGATGTCTAACATTGCTAAAAGGTTTTGATAGGTTTATTTTATCGCGGGCTGCCTGACTGATAGCAAGTAATCGTTTCGAAACAGGTCAAAGGAAGCAGGTAAATTGAGGTAAGAAAACCATAAAGGTTAAGGCATCTCAGATGGGGAAACACTAGGTACTGAGTCTTCAGTAGCTTGAAGAAGCCGGGGTCGCATACTCTTATGATCAATCTTTGATGAGAGACGTAACTAAGACGGGGACTTTATCTGAGTATTTTCTATTATCTCGTTTTAGTTATTAAGGTAAACACACGCTTATGATATACACACATACAATGGTTTTTTCTACGTTATACGAGTATTTAATATATGTTGAAGGTGGCTGGATGTTTTGGTATCACCTTTTTGCAGTTACCCAAGTAACATACGAAGGTACAAAAATGTTCATGAAACAAATTAAATATAATAAATAAAACTGCAATATATTGCTTCAGTTGGACTAAAAAGTGTTTATTTGATAAAATACAACGAGCTTACTTTTTACAACATTTTACTTCTACAAATGACAAAAAAAAAACAAACAAAACCCTTAGTACGATTAAAATATACATAAATACGATGGTATCAACTTCAAACGTATCATACGTAACGTAACTAACATAAATGCAATTCTAGGCAAGAACATTACAATTCAAGTAAAATATCAACTATAAAAGAAAAATAATGTAATTAAAATAACTAAAAATATTTTAAACGTTACATCAAATCTAATGCAAGAATTCTCTATAGATCACACATACATTTTTGACCTTAACCAATGTTGAATTTTGTATTTAATACTGATATTATTCATTTTGGAAGAACTAGAAAATATATTTACAATTTTTTATAATATTACCTTTTCATAAATGCCAACGTTTTAATTTTTCGCCAGGATCTTTGTGACCATATCGCAACCAACCGGTTTTTTAGAAAAAATTAAGAATTCTATGGAAAAAAAAAAGAAATCTGTTGTCTATTGTTGTGTGTAAAAAGTTCGATCTTGTATTCTGGGATTGTCTAAAATGAATTTACACATATAGTCTATTCGGTGTCTATGTAGGTATGTAAGAAAATATATTCTATTGTAACATGTGGACCGAGGCTGTCAACACTGATTAAAACTGCTATTAATTATGTATGTTTCACTGTAAGGAAATTATAGTGCTATGTACAATATAAATTTGTATTTCCTACGACTGTAATCGGTAGGCAATTAAAAAATTAAGAGTTTTAAGATATGGCAGGTACTTTGTCTGTTTTCAATAAAGCAACTTGCATTTAAGTAATCAGTTGTAAACAGCCTCGGGTGTTAATATGTAGAAACCTAACAACAGTATAAATTTACCAGCCTATTGTATATTCAATAAATATGTACAATGATATAACAGCACCCATTTTTAATGAAACCAATTTGCTTCAAGTTACACCGCCTATAACGCTTCGTAAATAATATATGAATAATATCACCGCTTTATTGTATATGTCTATTGTATATAATATTTGTATAATCTGTATATTTGTATTATTATTATAAACTGTATTTGTGTTGCTTAAAATAAGTATTGTAGCAAAAATAAGCTAAATAGGCGACGTAACTTTATTATTATTATACAAACACTCACAAAAACTTTGCGTTTAATAAAATCTGTAAAAAACTCAATCCAGACTACAAGATCTTATTCTAAATATGTCCATATTTTATTAAGAAATTCAACAACACTTATTTTATTGTGGAACTATTTCAACAAGTCTCTATTGTGATAAAAAATTATCTCGTATTCTATTATATTCCGACAGCGGTTGGCGAGTGGCAGTGTGTACAATGTTGTATACTTACTTTATATCAAATTATAATAGGCCATTTTTATGTTGGCTACCAATTATTTTATTAACACTAACAACTATTTTAAAAATTATTCCGTTTATAAAATAAATTATATAATAATATCGCCAAAAATTTCAAGTGTATTGCACTGGAACTGCACTAACTGCAGATATACGATTTTGTTTTTAAACTATACAAAATTATGCAAATAACACTAAAGCCGGGTTCACACGTCACGACTGCAACAGTTGAGGGGTTACGGTCGCAATATGCAAACCCGATGTTATAACAAATAAATATAATATCGGTGACACAAATTACAAACGCCGTATTAAATAGTACTCGTTGAAAATGGAAGACGTTGAAATAATTCGTAGCCAACTTTACAAAAAATAAGGTTTGTTACACTAAGCTCATGTCAACATGCACAGAAGTAAACGACTCAAATATTAAATATCGTTTACACTCTCTCAAAGTGCGACCAAACGGAACATGTAGACATATTATACGAATACTACCCTAGTATTACACTTGGCATGTTTAACAAAACGAATGGTAATGTCGAGTACACAGTTTCTTACAATATAATGTTCATTGTAAGATTAAAAATTACTAAGCATGTGGATATGTGTAATTATTATTAATAATTATTAAACGGAACATGTAGGTCGACTTAAGCGTTCGCCAATGATTATTATATTATTTAGACATTTAAATTTCACCATGAGATCATAATTAAATGCATGTGAAGTAATTAGCGAAAAATGTCTGGTTTCGGAGCAAGTCATGTCTAAACGAATTATTTCTTTAATGAAAAGCAATGGTTCAGTTTTACTAACATTGCTCAAAAACATTGTATTAAATACAATTGACGTTATATTAATAATTATTAAGTTTATATGCAAAGTATAGATTTACAATGCAATCTTATTCTCTCCTTTTAATATTTTTAACAACTTAAATCATACAAAATTAAGAAGGTATATCGGAATTGCGTTAAATATAAAGAAGAATTTTCTGTTATTTTAATATTTATCAAGACGCTATATGGATATAAAACGAGTGATGGAATTTTATTCCATTCGAGAAGGGTATTTGACAGAAATTGGCAAAATGATTACAGATTGCATCTCTATTCTACAGGGAATCGGTAAGACGTGTCATATAAATAAATATTACGTATTATAAAGGTTAGGAACATGCTTCAACCTAATTAATGTTATTGAAATAAATCCTCAGGGAATATAATCCAGGAATTACGTAAAAACTGTATGTATGGATATCCGATCAGAACTGGACGGCACGTTTAGATACGGCATTATTCTGTTTACTATGAAATTTTCGACAGTCAACTACAAATTGCCAAATTAAATTTCAAATGCATGACTCTGATCGTGGTACACGATCTTACTTTTCAGCACTTAAAAATAGTTTCATAAGAAAGCAAAACCGTGCTCTCAAAAAAAATAATACAAAAAATCATTTCGTACACATTAACAACTAATAAGATTAACTTCATAGGTAATACATACACGTGTAATTGAGCAAAACTTAACAAAACAGTGAGCAATACAAACAGAAACAGCCAGGGACGTGATCACTATACCGAAAACTGCATTCATTCATGACAGATATTATGTAGATCCATTGAAATCGAACCATTTTTAAATACATAGTTTGGTTAACACTATTGTTTGACACGGTCCGGCTTCAATTAAAACCAAATACTTTTTTTTTACTTGCAACACTGCCTCAGAAATTTTCAATGATATGTATTTATAATAACCACACTGAATGTAAGTAGAAATGAAATAAAACAGTAGAGAAATCAACGTGCACGTGGAGACATGATTTGTAAAAAATCGTGAAAAATAGAGTTCAGTTTCATATAGTCTATTTTCCACAACTTTTTTGTATGTAAACAAGTAAATACTTAGGTACTTAGCACGTTGCAAATACGACACTAACGTTAAGACTATTTCACATTTACCTCTGTAATAATATTGTATGTAATAAATGTATAAAATATCATCTGTAATCTCTGTATACTTAATCACTTCTTGTTTTATATTTAAAAATTAAATCCATTTGTATCGGTATAAAAATCTAATATAAATCTGAGGTTACATCTCGGCTATGGCACTCTGTTGTTTGTATGTCTGCATTCAAACTTTGTACAAGAGCGCGCCGCGCCGCCACCGCCCAGTGGACAAAATATATTGTTTATTGTATAAAAATACTTATTAACTATTATTTTATAAGGCTGCTTGTGTGAATTGTTAAAAATATAATTGAACCAAATCCTATGCTATTGATTTTATTGAGAGGCTGGGGCGGCGCGCGCCGCTATTAGGAGGATCACACATGTAAACATTGTGAAAACTTTTAGTCACGGAAGATAAATGTATTAAATTTCCTTTTGAATGATGTTTTTTTTTTGTTTGTAAACCTCCGAAAGTTTGATAGGAAACTAAAAAGGCGAAACAAAACAGTACGGTCGCTCATCAGTTGTGAACATCGCTTTATAATAGTCTTGTGGATTTTTTAGCCAGCGTTTGATATTATATGTAAGTAATCTTCATATAAGGCTTGGTATCAAGTTTATTCGTTTACAAGATATTTGGTTTATAAGAATTGATACGGGCAATCGTAGTCTATACGTCTCTGAAGAGACCATATAGAGAAGAAGTCGATGTTAAGTTACTAGATGTCACAAATCTTTATTTCAAATTCGTTTCTTTTTAGGATGAAATTTTTATATTGCAAAACGAAAGGACTCAAAGTACACTTAAGATAACAATTTGTAAATCCCACAAATGAAATATCGATGTATGAGAGGTTCAACTCAAGATACGGTGGTTGCAGTCCCATGTCATGTAAACCACTGCGACATACCTATGTGCAGTCATAAATAGATATATTTACAACTCCACTTCAATAACTAAAAATTCATCACATACTATATAAAGCGTTGTCTTTATTTTTTGATGGTGACAACAATGATATCAGTGGTGTTTTAAATCCTTAAAACTACTAATTAATATAATAGCTTACTATCAAGCAGACCGAATGCTTGTGTACTAAGTCACTAGCGTTGAAAAAAAGTTATGTTCAGATTCATGACAGCTATTTGACGCGTTGCACGTGCGTTGCTTTGCATCCGATGTTCACAACTGACGGCTATACAATTTCCATAACGGTCCAATGCTTTAAATTTGTCGTAATATCAACACATAATAAACCCACTAAACAATAATATTGCATCGATCACTTAACAGTGACAAATAATTAAATGGTATTTATACGATGAAAGTGACTCCCACAAATCCACGATTGGTACTTACCACTTTATCTAGTTCATTAACAGTTCATATTATGCGGTAGGAAAACGAAACCATCACATTAATATTGTAAAATAAGCTATATAAGTTGTCTATAGATACAAACAGAGATATTAAAACGTTAAAAATTTTGCTAGAATATCCTGGTACGTGTAGGCTTTATTCCATGAGAATGATCGCGTCCAATAATCTCAATGAAATTCAATATGCACACATCGTTATAGAGAATAAAGTTCAGATGTATTAAATACATCGTATGCCGATGACTGATTCTCGCTATACATTTAATTAGCATTAATCTTACTAATCTCCAAATGTCTCTCACGCCAGAATACTCCAACAAGATCCGAAATTCATATATATTTTTATTCTCCCTAATATCTAAGTTATTTCGCGATGAATGATCGAATTCCTTGGTAATTCGAAAGTCGATAGTCTAAGCTAAATTAGAAATAAGATTTACTCTGGCATACCCTCCGTCCCATGGATCAAACTACAACAAAGCACTTTGCGACATCACACACTTTACCTAAATTGGTAAAATTTACTAATCTCACTCATCGTTAACGTTATCAAATCAGTCAAGAAAGAGAAGGCGATAGCTCAGTGAAGGTATGACTCCACCTGACACCGTACCTATAAAAAAAAACTTTAGAGACAATTTAGGAACATAAACACTTTTCGCTATCGAGTCGACTCACAAATAATATTATTACAATCCAATGCAAAATCCAAAGTAAAATAAATTTAAAACATTCACCCGACTCCGTAAGGAATACTCTCGATCATGTCTCGACAGACGAAGATTTAACGCTAAATGAGCGAAATAGATACCTAACCTACCTATCACAGTCCTCTCTCAGTCTGACCCTTTCCACTTAAATGCATCTCATTTTGTCACATCGTTGAAGAAATTGGTAACAACCTAAACTAGGCCAACTATAATAAAAGCTGGTAGAAAAAATTTAAAAATCACTACACTATTTGGCACCTACAGTGTTATGAAGACATCTCAGTACCTAATCTCACAATGTTAATTAAGAGTAAATGCATTAATTAATGTAACAGAATCATTTGTAAGTACGTACTAACAAAATATAATGTTGATGGCAAAAGGTAACCTACATTTTTGGTTTTCATTCGTGATTCTGTTTCACCTAAGCGACGTCCGTTGGTCTTTTAATACGCTACGTCCAAACCCTGCCTAAAGCTAACTCGTAAATTCATTTCATTCTTTATCGTTACTTTTTAACGTATTTTGAGCATCATGGATCCTTTATAAAACCCCATATTTTTTGCCAGATTTTATCTCTTAATATTCGTAAATAAAATTAACTTAATACGTCTACAAAATATGTATATTTATTACAATTAGGCACAACGTAGCGCCGGAAACATTCATCGCGAAATATTGTTATGTGGTAAAAGATCAATTCTTAATTTTTAGATTTCAACGAAGTGTATTAAATTCTAATGTCCCGAACTTCCGCTCGGACCGTCTGCGAGAATTTCGACAGAATCCATAATCACCGAGAAAACTTACTCTTACGTGGTAACTTAACGATTACGGGGCAAAAACGCTATCTGTACTTGCATCCTCGACGGTAACACTATTCATGATGAACTTTGAAACTGTACAGACCTCCCGATAGAGTATAAACAGGACGTTATTTACAGATCGAAGCTCGTTTTACAGCGATCCGGTTAATGATATATCTCGACTACTGGTACTGAAAGCTCACGGCGCTTGTGTAGGCCGTGAGTCGTATACATGTGTGGCGCCTCGACACTTTAGTTGTAGAGGCGCTCGGCGCCGTAGAAGTCATGGTGCGCGTGAACATGAGCGTGCGCATGCGTGGGCGCAGGCGCCGGTGGCCAACGCGGCGGGGGCGCGGGTCACTGCGCCGGCAGGCATGCTACCGGCGCGCCCGGGCCCACCACGGGCTTGAACTCGGGCTGCGAGCTCGGGAATTGCTGGAACGGCGGCGCGTAGCATTGTGGGAAGTACAGCTCTGGTTTAACCACAGCAGCGGCGGGAGGCAGTGGCCGTGGGGTTTTTGAAGCGTCTGCCCTCCGGGCCTTGGCTGCGTGCGGATTCATATGGTTATCGATGTGCTTCTTCACCTCGGGCTCGGTGGCGAACCGCCGTCGGCAATTCGGCATTGGGCAGCAAAATGGTCTGTCGCCCTGGTGCGTTCTCGTGTGTTGGTCGAGAATCGCCTTCTGCCTGAAGTCTTTGCCGCATTGCGTGCACTTATACGGCTTCTCACCGGTATGTATGCGCAAATGTTGATTGAGAATCGTTCGCTGACGGAAAAAGCGAGGACAATACACGCACCCGTAGGGCTTTTCGTTGGTGTGAATACGAAGATGTTGCGTGAGATGAGATTGTTGTCGGAAGCGCTTGCCGCATTCCGGGCACGGATATGGCCGTGACTCTATATGAATGCATCCGTGTTGGAGAAGCGTCGACTTTTGCTTAAATTCCTTCTGACAGATGGGGCAACGGACGTACAGAGGCATTGCACGGCCACCAAGCACGTCAGGAAGTTTACTGCTTTTCAAATATTGCAAGGACAGTCCTGAACTAAAGACCGAATGATTGAGACCTTTTGTGTCTTTGAAATAAGCAGGGTATTGAGCAGAGTCGCCGGGAGAGAAGCAGGACCCACGCTGTTCATTCTGCCCATCAGCGTCACCGAACGTCGACTGCACCTCTTCCTTGTTCTCGTCAGGAAAAGGTACGTCCTGGGGCCAGAGTGTAGGCGTTGTTCCATTCTTGAAGATGAGATGCGGCGAAACGTCTGTAAAAATTTAAGAGGTTGGTCAGTTACGGGTGGGAGCGTCCGAGAAAGGCTAACCGACGAGTGAGTTAATCAAACTGAGGAACGGTTACAGGAGCGTCCGGCGGTCGGTTACGTGTCTCGCGGGCACCCGCCGCGATACGGGCGACGAGGGGACCGAGAATTTGTTTGATAGGAAGGCCAATGGATGCGAGACCGAATCGACGGTGCGGGGGGCGGCAGGAAGAACGAGCGCCGGCTGCAGTGACCGGTGTGGTCAGTGCTGACGGCGCGCGCGGGGTCCAGGTGGGGAGATATATGTGTGAATAGCGCTCGCCTTGGTGTGTGCGGACGTGCTGGTTCAGGATGGCCTTCTGGCGGAAATGTTTGCCGCACTCGCCGCACGTATATGGCTTCTCACCGGAATGGATTCGCAGGTGCTGGTTGAGGATGGCGCGCTGGCGGAAGGAGCGCGGGCAGTAGACGCAGGCGTACGGCTTCTCGTTGGCATGGATCCGCAGGTGCTGGGTCAGGTGCGACTGCTGCCGGAACCGCTTGCCGCACTCGGGACACCCATACGGCCTGGAGTCCGTGTGAATCCTCTCGTGCTGCAGCAACGTTGACTTCTGCTTAAAGTCTTTACCACATGTGAGGCACTTAAACAGCCTCAGCTCAGAATTGGGGTTGTGCTTGCGCGGCTTAGGTGGCTCTGGTTGCACTATGTCTGGTAGATGACGCAAATCTGGTGTTGCGTATTGATCCAGTGGGCCTTCAAGGGAAAGTACACCACCATTTTGTTTTAGATAGTGTAAGGGAAAACCGCCAGTACTGAGCATGTGGCTAGCAGGCCTCGCTTCTTTAAAATAGGGTGTATATTGTTGTTGAAGGTCCGGCTGAGGAACGAAGCATGGCGTTCGGTCTAGATGATCTTGCGTTGGCGGTTGTGTTTGAAGCTGTTGCTCAACTTGCATATGTTCGGGGGAGGTCTGTTGCTGTTGCTGCTGTTGCTGCTGCTGTTGTTGTTGTGCTTGTTGCTGAGCCTGTTGCTGAGCGAGCTGCTGGGCAGCGTCCTCTGCGGACCCACTTGGATCAGGCGGTGGAGGTGCAGGCGGGTATGGTGACGGTGCCGGGGAAGCGAGTTGAGGTTCTGGTTGAGGCGAGGGCCCTCCAGGGCTTTGATGTTGCATAGGCTGGTAACCGCCATCGAGAACTCCACCACCCCACTGTGTGCCAGGAGGAGCGCGTTCGACGCCATCTTTATAGAGGACGTATGGTGTTGTAGTGTCTGGAAAGAAAATAAGAAATGGAATTAATGCTAGCAACTCATAAATGTTTACACTTGAATCTCTAACTAAATATGCCGATTTATTGTTTAATATCGGTTTTGATAAATCGTCAGTGCGGCAGCACTGATAGCTATGGCGTGTAGGTAGAAGTAAAAGCTCGCGACATCGCGTGTCTTACACGATTTGTAACACCCGCTGCGCCAAACGAATAAGAATTTAATAAAACGTCACGTTGTTAGCTTCGCGACACGTTTCCGTAACTGGAGCAAAAACATTGGGTAAAGGACTTAGTGCATAGAAAATTTAGAGATCGTATCTATGCCACGACTGAGAGATGTTCGTTGTCACAAACAGGAGATTGATAAAGATTGTAACGTGTCTGAAGAACCACATAATCGTTATTGTTAGTGAGGGTATTAGTTTTAAGACTAGGTAGAAGTTGATCGAATAATATCATGACGGTTTTGTGCGTTGTCCATTCCTCGCCTTATTTGATTAAACTATGATTATTAGTCATATTAAAGTCTTATTCCTAAAACTTACAGACTATCAATAAACATCAATGACTTATAAATCACTAATAATTTCTATTTGTATGATGATAAATTAGATTCAAATTTTTACCTTTTATAAAAAATTGCCATTAAAATGCAAGTTTGTAATTACGGATATGGAGTTTAAAAATTATTCCAAAGAATAGTTAACACAGATTTGAAAGAAAATTCCACATTTTATGTGCTGTTTTTTTGTAATATATCCAATTTCAGGTATATGTGTACTAAACTAAACATAATGAATTGTTGTGTCAATTTAAATGTTGGAATTCTTTTAAGTTCAATAAATGTTCATTCTAGGCAGAGTCTCTCTTTCTCTTAACAGAGTTTGTTAACATGAGGAGAATATTCCAGAAACAGAAATGAACGAAGTGCAAAAAATACTATTGCGCCAGAGACAAGTCCTTTTTAATAATTAATTGCTCTGAATTTTTTAACTCTTGCAAGAATAGAATTCAACGTGGGTAAATGTTCAATAAGTAAAAAATATATTATACCGAATTTTCCTGAAAATTATACGGAATACAAGAGGATTGTTTTGTCTGACTAACAGATGTAATTCAGTGCTAAAGTGACGGGACCCTGGTTGAAGTTCCAGCTACGGAGGATTCTCATCAACAACCTCTAATAGTCCACTGCTGGCCTATACTATACCACGCGTGGTATAGTATGTATTTCCTTCTCTTTGCAATGCCATTGTTCTGCGTAGTTTGGTCCCTTAATTGGCTCTTACGACACCCACGGGATGAATATGGGTGGTGACACTCCGTATTCCATATCCTTCACCTCACGGACAGGACGGACTTAGGATTCTCATTTATCCACATCCCATTTAACAAGTTTTACTGTATTAGGTTCATTTTATTAAAGATTTAAAGAATATGTACTTCCTAATATTGTAATACATACAACTTTATTATGGCAAGCGTACCTAATATGTACGAAATATATTACTGCGGGAATATAATATATACGAATACTATTAAAACATAATTTAAATAGTTGAGGAAAAACTGCCAAGATAAAGGCACTTCTAAATGAATGCGTTTCTAATGATTCACTTTCTCGGCGTACTGAGACTGATCACAAAAAACGCGGGAAAATGCGACCATTTTCTTTTCACGCTCTTTCAAAGGGAAATGCAAATGGCGGTTCCGATAGATATATTTACTTTGGAATCTTATAGATAAAACCTTAGAGTTAATATCTAATGTAAAAATATTCCTAAGGGATTGAAGTGTTTTTATTTCATAACAAATGTATTTATTATTATTACTTGTTTATTTATTAGTATCTGTAAAGCTTTCAATGGCAGCGATTATATAATGGTTTGAAGCTTTAATGATTCGATATCTTAATTTTTCCAGGTATCTATATGTTTTCTAGGTGTACCTAGTGCTATATGCGTATAAATAATAAGATAAAACATTTTGATTTAATGACGCATAGTGTAACGCCATTTTGGTTACTCTATTAATGTAATTCATAAAAGATTCTAATATTATTCAAGGATTATGTAGTCTGTGGATCTGCATCAACCAGGCTATTGCTCATCTTACATACAGAAGCGAAACCCTCGCCAGTGTTGGGATACTTTCATAGTTGAATTTATATTGACATCGAAAATAATAATCTCAAACTTTAACAAAATGTAGAGAATAAAACAAACAAGCATACGGCATAGGTCTGTAGCGGTTACCTTGTGGTTACTACCGCTAAATACAAGATAACCGCTACATTAACCACCAAAGCCTATGAACGCTTGAAACTCAAGACCAGGGATTCCCAAAGTGGTCGATATCGACCCCTGGGGGTCAAAATCGGTTTCTTTCGGGTCGACGGGGTTTAAAAATCGACCCTATTAATTAACACAAGTTCTTCTTTAAGACTCAAGATACTGTCTTACTTGTGTTACGTTTACCAACTTGTTATAAGAATGACTAATATTTTAGTAGAAAGTATCGTTGTTGTACTTTTAAAAAACTAAACATGTCGATAAGCGTGCAGTAATTTAGCTATGGGAGTCTGAGGTATAAGTTTATTTTAGAAAACGGGTCTCTCGCCCTATAAATAGTTTGGGAATCCCTGTTCTAGACAAGTTGCTGCGCCGAAAATTTCTAGGTACCAAATAGCGGACATGATCAAAGAAATAATATATTTTGCTAGTTAATTACACGTACTAAAAGCTATTCCCGTATTTCCGGATAGTGACGGATCAAGAACACAGTGTCACCACTCCTATTTATCATGTGGGAGTCGTAAAGTGCAGCAAAGAAAACGAAAACTTCAAACAAACCCTGGCCAGCGTAGCATAGTAGGCCAAAACTTACTTTCTAAGGAGAGGCCTATGTCCAGCAGTAGACTATTAAAGGCTGTTGATGATGATGATATTAAAATGCTATTCCAAAGTTGATTAGCTCATAATTGGTCATAAATTTGTAATTTTTCCCTTTTGAGAAATCTGCGCAATTGGAATCGAACTTGCGGTAGTCGTATTAGTGTGCACTTGTAAAAAGAAGCATGTATTTTGTTACTGTTCCATGGTCACACTTGATCGACACACGTGTCCGACGTATTCTGAGAGTAATGGGAACTACTTCTGCGGTTACATATGACAATTTGGACAGCCACCGAACCGGTGTTGCGTTGCTATGTTTAAATGTATGTTTATGCGTACAGGTGACAAGAAAAGTGTTATTTCTTTTTATTAGTTGGCTTTTATCTGTGTATTTTAACTTTACTTTTTGGTGAACCTACTTAACTCCAAAAAAAAGACTTTACCTGTCTAAATCCGTCATCAATATCATGAAGATAGTTCCCCTGATTTTTGATTCGATATCGATTTAGCTTTAGGTACCATTTTTAAGGTAAGTTGAGTAGTACTATGTTCTTCAGTAGAGCGTCAGCTATTTAATGTTAAATATTTTGGTTTTGTCTACAATGCAGACTCAGTACATGATGTGTGAAGGCGTTTTTAAGGGACCCCACACTGTAGTGATTTGAAAAAACGTGTGATCTGCCGCGGATCTTCAATTTTCAAATTTGTAATTAATTCTTAAGAAGTTGATTATGCATGCATTTGATTGCATTTAAATGGAATAAATTGATTTAGAAATATCATATGGATGTAGTACTAGTTTGGTGTTAATGGCTTTTGTAACATTTGTGTGTTGAACTGTACGAGATTTAACTTCACTCATACTTTAACGGTTTCTGACGGCTGGATCAGTTGTAAGCTAATCGCTTGGAGACAGTAGCGACATCTAATGATTTAAAAAAGTTTTACAACACTAAACTGGAATTCGTTTTCTGAATACCAGTTGGACAGTAATTTTTAAATGTTATTTATCGATTAGATCTTATAAAATATGAATTCCATAAGATAAAAGGTCTAATTGAAAAGAAAAAGTATTAAATAGGTCCATATTAATTTTTTAGATAGTCTTAACTTTTTACTGCTATGGGGCTCTGCGGAATAATAAGAATTCTGTCTATTTTGGAATCAGACGGCAGTGTGTCGATGTGTCTAGTTATTATATTATCATTATTACATATAGCTTAAATTAACTGAAACGGGTAGAGTCAAGTGAAATAGGAAGCAAACTTTATAAGTACCTTACATATTCCACAAAATCAATCATAGCCAGTCGTCGTCGGTTATCTGTTTGTGACGTTAAATTGAAAAAAAATTACCATCGTAGCGTCATTCCTAATAATTATGAACGTGTTTTCGTGTAAAAAAGGGTTTCATCGATCTTAGCTGAGCAAGCCTCGTTAATAACACCCGAGATAAACTCAGAGCTGATAAAATATCTTTTCTTTATTTACTAATCAATACCGGTTTTTATATACAACAAGTCGCTCACGACAACGACAATGAACGTTTATGGTTTTACTACTATTACACTATTACTGCGCTCCTAATTATCATAGCGTGATGTTAAATAGCCTATAACCTTTCTCAAGAATTGAGCTATTATGTGCAAAAAGTTTTTGTTTTGAATCCAATTGTTTTGTTTGATATAGATATTTTTGACGCTTACAACACTACGTGTCTGTCATTTAGGTGTTTTTAGTTTTAACCTGTATAATATCTATTAAATATTAATGTAGTTGTTACAGAAATAACACGTTCTCGGTACAGAAGATCACAGTTAACAGCCCCTCAATAGCACAGAATAGATAGTAGTAGTCTACTAGAACTATACGCAGTGTATTGTTTTTTTTTTTAAGGGCAGACAACTCCCGCATTAGGAATACATATTCCTGTGTCGCGGGGAACTTTACAAACATACATGAAATAGATACAAAGAACACCTAGACTCAGAACAGCAATTTGTGGATCACACAAAGTGGTGTCCCATGTGGGGATCAGACCCACAACACTCAGAGCAGTAGGAATCGGTCTGGCGACCGCTTAAACTACTACGCCATCCGTGCAGTCAACTAGTATTACTACCTGCGTGTAAGGAAAGGCCATTCTTTCATCGTCAGACGAACTGAACTTGAGATAATTGAGATAATGAACTTTTTTCTGCGTTTTGTTGTCACGTAGATAAAAGTTCATTTACAAATCACCAAAAAAGTTCTTTTTTTCATTCACACGTTCATGGGCGGCGATGGTCACTTTCCATTGGTGACCCGCTGCTCGTCTGCTCCCTCTAACATAAAAAAGTATTATTTTGAGCCGCAAAATATTGTAATAAATTCCATGTGATTATTTTTCTAGACAAATATTGTCTTCGAAAGTTCAAGAGTGGTATGATTACGTTTCTTTTCAATAAAAAAAGGTAAACATTTTTATCGTCGCTTTTCAGCAGATGAGGAAAAAAAACACTATTCGAATAGGCTAATAATTAGTGGGATAAAGAGGTTAAGAAGAGGGCAGTAGATTATGTTTCTTACTGGATATAATAAACTAGAAATATATAAATCTTTGCGATTTTTATTACTAGCTTGTTTAAGCAGTCTTGTATTTAAGGACAATTAGCTACAATGAATTATATTCCCGCAGAAGAAAAAAAACACAGAAAATAAGTATTAGAGTTAAAAAAAGGAAGTAACCACACCAATAATCTTTAGAGGAATCGGTTATTTTATTATTAACAACTTCAAGAGCTGTTTGATGATTTGCCACCTTATTAAGAACATATTGTTTTTTTTTCATCACCTCAACTACTGCAGAGCAATTTGTAATTGTAATAGATACTCATGTTACGACAATAAGGTGCATTTTTCTCTTTCAGGTTGTTCCACCTCTCTCTCCAAATCAAGGTTTTTTTGTCTGCGGTTTTGACGTTGGTAATAAAGATTATTATGAGTTTTGAATTTTGTTAAACTGCTTTCTAATCGATACAACGGTCATAAGGATTTAACAAAGCCAAATAACCTTTATAAAATGTTAAGATTTTTATATTGGTTAAGAATTTTTTTACACAACTACGTAAGTAAACAAATATATTGTCCACTAAATAACCGGTGAGCGATGATTGCCAGATCTATCATTAAATAAACTGAGAGTGACCCGTGCTTATTTACCACCTTAATAATATAACACATTCGAATTAAAATGCAAAAAAAATTTCAAGACTCGAAAATTTCTTCAACTATTAGAAAAGCTGATAATCTTCGAACAACTGAACAGATTGTTCGAAGATTATCAGCTTTTCTAAATTGTTACAAAGAAGATTTTTGAATAAGTCACTTTTTTAACAATTTAAACAACACAGACAGAGACATAGATACACAAGTTAAACCTATAAAAACACTTATTCTTTTAATCTGTAGATGGGGTTTAAAAGTCTTTCAATGTTAAATTCAATAGTTTAACACACCCAGAAGATTTGCAGGCTTTTGAACCTCATATGCCACTAAATGTCATCAAACTAAATTTACAAGTAACAACACTGCCTATTGTTTTCCAACGCGAAAACATATCACTTCATGTACAACAGTTCCTTTTATGTGAAGTACAAAGACAAAGATTTATTACTGAATAACATCTGTTTATAATCGAGTGCGGGATAAAATAATACCGAAGGAAACATCGTCCAAACGATTTCTTCATTTGACAGCGGAGTTTTAATGACGCGAGCAGTGGCGGGTTAACGCCGGATGCCTACACATGTGGGGTGTCGTCTCATATCAACTTTTTTTCCTAACCCTTTTTAAAAATTATAGCGTTCGTGACGTATGTTTGAGTCTTATGGGAATATCTTACTGTACAATGTTCCTATGACAGTAGGTGTAGTTCCAATTACATTTGATGTGAATATCTCGAGTTCATCTTGATGACTAAGGTTTGAGATATTACGACCGGAAATTAGTTTAAGCAGATTCTCAAATTAATTTGAACACTTTCATCTTTGACTTGATTTGCAATAATACCAAAATATTTTATTTATTATAAAAAAACCACTATAATTGTGCAAAAATGTGCTTAATTTATAAATGTATGTGTGTGTTCTAACTTATATGTATGCGCACTGATGCATTAAAAAAATGGAATGTCAAACTCTTTGCTGTTTTTTTTCTATTCTATATCTTCATTTCATCCAATTTCTTTGACCGTGAAGGGAGTATTTAACCGTAATATTCTCTGAGTCACTAGTACTTCTCCGCGGTTTTCCTCGTTTTTAAAGCCTTCGTTTTCCTAAGCGTTATAACATGATGTTAAGACTTTTTAAAATATGGATGACATATGCAAAATCAAGTCTGTCTATCTGCTCTAGAGAATCACGCGTTCACCCAAGAAAGAAACAAGCTTTTCAATATTTTTTGTACATAATTATATGGATTACATATTAATTACCATTTGTAAAGCTTAAATAAACTTACACTGTTAAGCATCTTGTGAACCTCTTTGTTTTTACAATAAGTAAACATTAACCAAAGACAATAACAAAAAGTAATTACGAGTTACGTCTCTGATGTGTTCTCATAAGTAAGTAAATGACGTGAACGTTTACGAGAGGGTTTGACCACGTGTTGAAGCTTTCTTTAGACTACATATGGGGCTATGGGAAAGTGTACACTGGAAAGGTTTTAAAGGATGTAAGGTCATCATATAATTGCTGCGGGCGTGTGAAGATATTTATAAATACGATTTCAAGAATAAGAGTATATCCTGCCTACCTACCTACTACTCCCTGCTACCTCTTTTCACCTTTCCACTTTTACTTAACTTACTTACTAAGTGAGGAACGTTACGGAGCAACAACACCCCCATTTTTTACCAGCGAGACAAGTGTGTTTCCGCAAATCTTTACTCAAGAGACACAAGTGTGTACCCACTAATTGAGTGTAAGCCCCATTTTATTTCGGCGAAGGTACCCCCCTGCCGAAAAAAATGGGGCTTACATGCAATTAGCGGTACACACTTGCGTCTCTTGAGTCATGGGTATTATTGCTACTTTCAAATCATATTCAGTAATCATATTCATACTCATGTGATTGTGATTTTGTCATAGACAAAGATAAAAGGAATTAAAATTAAGCTAAATTAATTTTATCAAAGATAACGACCGTGTTAAATATTTAATAGCATTAGAATCATATCATAGTGAAGAGTATAAGATAAAGAAAAAATATCATTACAGTGTCAGAGTAATAAAGAAGGGAAAATTAGAGCAGTTAAAAGTAAATAATTATTATGGAGAAAAGAACCAGGAAGTATGTAGTACCAAAGTTATGTAATAAATATCAAATACTAAGGGAGGACAAGAAAATAAAATGTAAGTTTAAAATAAAACTAAGACTAAAAGAAATGTTTGGATATGGCAATAGATTAAAACGCGTTCATAAATAGGGAAGCAGGTACCCAGGAAATAGTCAGGTTACACATATTTATGTATTGTTTGTCTTGAAATTATTTTGTTTGTTGAGTTAGTACACCGTTGTAGGAGTAATTTAAAAACTAGCATGTAAGTACTTAGGTTATTATAAATTGAGCGGAACGCCTACAAACTGCTAGAACAGTTTGGCGAATCGAGAACTTGTAAACAAATGTAAATAAAGTGTGATTAAGTTTATAATAAAAAAAAAAAAAGATTTAGACCTTTAGCGAGTCTTGCGCTAGTGTAATAATAAAAATAAAGTAGCAGTGGTTTTGTAAATAAGTCACAGTTACGATGATATGATCTATAAATCATATGATTTATTACATCTGATTGAGATTTTATGCCATCCCTACTCTTGAGTTGATGAGGTGTCCATGGGCGCTGGTAGTCATTTATTTTTATTTTATTACACTTGCTGCATCTATACTGCATAAGGCGAACTTAATGCCGTAGCCATTTTCCTCCAGCCAAACTTGCAGAGCTGTCTGTGTCAGGTGTAATTACATCTTTATCTATACAAATAAATAAAATTGGAGTGTCTGTTTGTAATATTGAAATAACAGCTTTTTACTAATTGCATATGTGTATGTTTACACAGTACATATGCCAAAATAACATGTTTTACAATTTTTGTCTGTCTGTTTGTTCCGGGTAATCTCTGGAACGGCTGGACCGATTTCGACGGGACTTTCACTGGCAGATAGCTGATGACATAAGGAGTAACTTAGGCTACTTTTTTTAGAACAGCTTCGCCCCGCGGCGTTGCCCGCGGTTATAACAACAAACGCGGGTAACACCGCGGGTCTCAGCTAGTTTCACATAAACTAGATAACAAATTAGAATATCTTAATTAGATGACAAACTTATAAGCAGGTGACAATAAAAATGATCCAATGGTTTATTTTTTACTTTAATCATTAAAGTTGAAATTTTAACATATTTTATTTGTAGTTCTATTCAATGACATGGTTAAAATATTATCTATCGAATATGTGGCAGTAGGATTACTGCAAGAGAATGCGCGGACGCCGCCGAACTGGTCCGGCAAGACCGCCCCTTTCCTGCGCACGCTACGAGTACCGACTGCAAATAAATATGTATTATTTGTCCTTTAACTTTTACTAAATTCCTACTTTGAAATGAATGTTAGACATTAATAATAATATTTTCGGACATCTGACACATAACGCCATCTAGTTTCAAACTAAGCAGAGCTTGTACTATGAAAGCTAGTTTGACTGATAGAATACTTATTTTTGTAATTACATACATATCAGATAGTAAAGTTAAATATATATTAATAGAGGTTTATCGTAATTTAGTGGGGTAGCTAGAGTATGCAGGCCGTGGTGTTCTGTTTGCTTAAATACATATATATATATATATATATATATATATATATATATATATATATATATATATATATATATATAATATTGTAAAGCTTTGTCAAGTATTCTTTTTGTAGAAAGAGGAATATGGTGGAGTTACATTTATAATCTTTATTTAGTGATTGTTCCGTAGGACCGATTTTTCATAAAGTACCTGTACTTGCCACGTCATTGAAATTGCATTGATAAGAAATGTGAAATAAAATTAAATATATATAATAATAAATAAAATTAACACGAAAAATAGCTAAAACAATCTTAGGAGAGGTTTGTATATTGTGTCAAAATTTGAGATCACTCGGTGCAGAGCTTTTTGAGCTTTCGAAGCGTACACAAACTAACTTAACATTTATATATATTTAAGATATATGAAAAAAGTACAAAAAAAGTAGAAGACTAGAAAAAGTTGTTTAAGCGGTCGCCACGCCGCTTCCTACTAGGCCGAGTACAACACTCTGGGGTTCAAACCCCACATGGGATGACACTTTGTGTGATCCACAAATTGTTGTTCTGAGTATGGGTATTCTTTGTGTCCGTTTCATGTATGTTTGCAAAGTCCCTCGCGACACAGGATATTTTCCTAATGCGGGAGTTGTCTTTTCAAAATAGAAAAAAAAGAAGAGACATAGCAATTTTTATAGTGGAAATCTTCAAACAGTAAGTAATCTAAGTTACTTGAAAACGAGAAAACAAAAAAAAAAACAATTCAATTTCAATTTTAATTACAATCAAATTTTATTATGAGAAAAAGAAAAAAACGTTAACCGCTTGCGCTTGCGCACCGTACAGCGTTCACGGATGGTCGGACCCGTCACCCGCTTGGCAGCAGCGATCCGCTGGATTAAATCCCTAAACAAACTTCCAAATGTCACTAAAGCTTCATAAACATACCTTATCCAGCTCAATATAAAGATGAAAACTCTATAAAATATATTAAAAATCAAAATGGTTCACGAGATAAAAATCGAACGCGTATAAAATATTATCTACATAATTTTTTGTGGTAACTTACGGAGATTTTTGGACAATTATGTTTGATTACTCCTTTATTACAGACGTGTGGTATGTGTCCAGCGTTGCGATGACGCATTTTTAAAGCAATATAATATTAATAAAAAAATAATCTCTACAGATCGTAGAACTACAATATTTAAAAAATTATGTAAGTACCTGGTTTAAAAAATGAAAAATAAATTGTTGCATATTACCTTTACATGTTTTTATTGTGTGAAGAATTGATAGCAACATCCCCTGTCTGTTCCTAAGTCTAAAAAATACATATTTTTTTTTTATTTACTGCTCTCCTAGCAGTAAACAAATATTTTCTGTTACGCTTACAAATTGACACCGATAACCGATCCTTCCTTTTGCGACTTTGTTGATTTTAACATTGTCATTTTACTGTCATTTTCAACATTTTATTTGAAGTCGCCGCAATTTGTAACATTGTAAAGAAAATGACTGGAGTTCTTTTACCACCTCCCGCCTAACTGTACCCAACCCTACTTGGAAATGCAATACTTTTCAAACAAAGGAAGATGGTAAATTAATAAAAGCTTGACACATCTTACACATGGCCGTTCGATCCCAAACTAGGCAGAGCCTGTGCCATGGTAACCATGGTAACCAGATAAACATACTTATATATTTCTAAATACATACACATTATAGATAAATTACAACCAGACACAGAGTAAATGTAATACACAAAATTATTTATGGCATTCGAACCCATGACTACTCAGGGTCACTAACCACTAAATCCACAGATCAGTAATTGATAGAAGTAACTAATTAAGCACTAGTTATAAACACAATTTAGTAAAGTAAAGTTAATTTTAAATTATAATCTCTTCAAAGTCCAAACAAGGTCATTTCTCTAATGTTTTGTCTGCGGCAATTTGTAATAAGTTGGTGTTATTTTAGCGTGAGTGAATCATGATGTTACTCTGTTGTGTGTTTGTTGTATCGACAATGAAAACAGGATGGTTAGTCATGTTCTTTGTGACTACGCTTCGTGGTAACTAGTTTTTATAAGATGCTGTTTGAAGCTTAGAAATTTTGAACTTATGGAAGGAGGGTCGCCCTTTCTACATTACATGTCTGACATTTTTATGTATAATATATATATATGAGAATAAATATTTTTCTGTTTTCGCAACCTATTCATTTATACTTGGTACATTTATTATTGGTCTTAGCATGATGTTATATAGTTTATATCCTAATACTAAAAGAATTTTCCAAGTCGAACTAGTAGTTCCTGACAATAAAAACTCACAAACTTTATGCAAAGTTTCATGTTTATAGACCCAGCGGTTTCAGCTGTACGTTGATCGATCAGTAATTGAATTGGCCTGTCAGTTTTTTCTTTTAAATATATATGTAGATACTACTTCTAAAATGGTGTACAAATAAAGAGTTTTCAATCTAAGTATCTATCTTATGGAGTTCTCTTCACTCCTACAATTCTTTAATTCTTCTGTAGGAGGTGACTATTAACGTCCATTGCATGTACTTTTGTCGAGCCGAGCGAGTAGGAGACTGGTGATTTTTCCTATTATAAGCTCCTCAGTGGTTGCAAAGTACTTGTCTGATAGGAAGAAGAAGAAATAATGATAAAGAAGAGGTTTTCCAATCTGAGACCCTGAGCACCACAGCTATATTTGGTGTTGAAGCTTTCGTTGCATATGGTATTTGGTTGTCATTTGTAGCAATAAGCAGCACTTTCAGACTATCCCTAACTTGTGCTCGGAAATCAGCTCATCCCCCAAAAAACTTTTCGGACCTCAAAATACTGTTAAATTTGAATATTTGCAAAAATTTCAACGTTTATTCTCATACAAAATAATTAACTGCGCATCAAGAGCATTGGAATTGTCCCAGTCAGACAGTACAAATTGACACATCAATAATTTATTTATATGACACACAAAAAGTAACAGAGTCCTTTCATATGAATCATGCACATAAGAACGAATGCGGAAAACAAGTGAATGAAGATGTTACAAAAAAAGCGAGTGTCAGCGAACGACCAAAAAGTTCATTGGACATTTACAAATTTCGTCGCGACACATCATACATAAGTCCTATTCATCGACGCGTCATCGCTACTTCAATACGCATTACTTCAGTCCAGTGCAGCATGCGAAAGGCACAAGTGCGTAACGACACGAAAGTGACAGGTCATTTTGGCGGGAGCCCGGCCCGCCATGTCTGGCATTGGGTTCTTTATAATATCTACATCGGTACCGGTTGTACGCACCACGCGACACTCGGCCTGCGTCGCGACAATTTATTTCGGTTCGGGGCAATGCACTTATCGCACGCAGCCCTGAGATCTGCGCGACGAATAAACGAGAGTAAACATGAAACGCGAAGGGAAAAAAATAAATGCAAAGTTGACAGTGATAAATCAAGGCTGCTAAAATGGTTGCCTTGCCGAGGTCCCCGCTCACGGTCCGCTAACATCCACTAGCTCTGTAACAACTCTGACGAATGCTATTAGCTCATAGATAATACATCTGGGTTTGTTTTTGTTGATAAAACAGGTATACGTTTACATGACACTTATTATTTGATTCTTGACATGAAAATGTAGCTTTCTTGATAAAAAATATATTTAAGATTCCTTATGAAATTAAATGTGATATTATAAGAGTGAAAGTTCATTGTTTAACTTTTATTTCTAGTTAGGTACCACATAGCCGAATGATTAGCTATTATTTTCTTGTTATAGGTGTGAACCCATCCAAGTGAAACTCAACCAGATCACATTCAGTAATATTTTGTAATAACTGATCATAAAGTTAAAAGTTTTACTTGTGAAAATAGATATTAATAAAAAGTGGGGGTAGGCAATAATTCTACATGTCCCAAACGTAATGCAGATATTTTATGCTTTTCTAAATTGTCAGAATAAATATAATAAATCTTTTAAATGGTTTCGACTGTAATTAATGGCATGTTCGCACACTCACAACGACTAAAGAATGGCACTGAAGGCAATAACAGTTTAATACAGCCGATGTAACACGGTGCACTTTGTTATTCCAGAAATAAGTGGACTTTACTCGCCCAAATCGTATCGCTGCACGGAAGTGCAATTCAAAGTATGCTAATTAAAACAACTTTAACTCAAAACGTATTTTTATTTTCAAACCTGTTCGTTAACGAGTGGGTAGTAATAAAAAATCTATTAATTCAGCAGACCGTCTATGTGCATAGTCGCTTGCGCTATGGTAATTTGTCAAGTGCACGCTTCGCGCCAAAAGTGACGTTTCACAAATCTTCAAAATGGCGTGCTGTGGTAATTAAACGCGTGCAATAACTGGCCATAAAGCAAACGAAGCGCATTGATGACGTGCCGTGCGCGCTATTTTCAGTGCGCGACGCTGCTCGACAAATGCTAACGGCCTCTAGGACACTCCAGCGGGACACAGCGAGCTCCCGACTCCCGGCACACTCATTCCATTACTATTTGTTTATTATTCCAATGTTAAGTGCCGCCAGAATAATTAATCAACAGTGGGTTTATGCGAGATAATACAATGTCTAACCTTTTCATCAGAAGTGATTGGATTTCAGATATAAATTGATGTCTGTTAACAAGGTTTTCCAGTTATGTTAATGACCTGCGTTTATGCAAATGTATGAACAGCCAATTTTCTCAAGTTTATGTTGCCAATTCTTCTACTACTATTTCCAACTCCTCCAATTTAGTTCTAATTCAATTCGTTGTTGTTTCCAAGATAAAAAGTTAGGTCACAATGCAGTTCCGATCCGATAAAAGGTATTTTCGTTGAGAATTTTTTAATCACCAAGGTTGACTATAATGCAATTAAATCGTATTGTCACCGAAAATTGAATCGGTAATCTGCTAGTCTTAGTAATACTTTAATATTTCACTATGAAAATACCTTCTATGACAATTGCCAGAGTTGATCGGAACCGAATTTTGACCGAACTTTTATTACGAGAATTGACCTTCTTGTATATATGAGTGTGTACGGTGTTATGCTTAATGTGAAGGATTCTTGGTGGTTTCTTTTATGATCGGCCGCCTTCCGAATTAATGCCAAATCTACTTGGGAGTTTAATTGTTTTCAAACGGGATAACAGAGGAAGATACATTAGGGTAAATAAACATGGCAGATGATTATAAAGTGTTAGGACTATAATTGATTAGAGAAATGAAGTTTGATCTTTCTTCTACACATAAGTATCCTTAGATCAGGCTAGGACATAGCCACCTTGGGTTCCAACGGCGCGTGCGCGACGTGATCTAGTTTTGGCGTCATCAATGGTAGTAATTAACGTGATCGTTTGTATCACGTGATACAAGACCACTAATCTAGTCTTACTTATAATAATATTCTTTAATATTAAATTTCATGTGTTTGATCCAATTTCATCCAAGTGATGGATGATATTATGCGCTGTTTAATTTCCCTTCATTATTTAATCTATTGTTATTTTGTGACTACGAACATTATTAAATTTCACAATCTGTTTTAAAGTAAATGATGTAGGTATAGCAACGTAGCTACTCGTATCATACATAATGTCAAAATTAAAAAATGTTAGTTTGATTTGTGGCTCATAGATGGCGCTGATAGATTAATGTCTTTATACGAGTATAGTCAAACATTTCAGTGGTTAGTAAATTGTTAAACTTCACTATTCAGTTATGTTAGGTCCACGTTTAACATGACTTAGCACTTTTTTTTTGTTAGGTTATTGGCTACATCTGGACATTTCCAGACAGCTACGTCATCATGATCATCAACAGCCCTTAATAGTCCACTGCTGGATATAGGTCCTTCCATAAAAGGAGCCTTTGGCCTACTATACCACACTGACTAAACGGGTTGGTATAGGGTTTGTTTCAAGTAACAACAGACAGCAATGTCTCATAATTGAATTAAAAAAGCAGCGGTAATGGCAAAGGATCTGCGAATAAGTGGTTCAGCGTTTGCACCCACTCCTAAGACCTAGCATTTGGGTTAACTTTAGGGGTTAATAGGGGTACTAGTCATGTGGAACCTATCTTACCACGTCATAAAATACTCAGATCGAGATTTGAGGTAGTTTTTTTTTCAGTTAAGCTAGCTAGCTAGAAGCTAATCATAGACTTTATGATGCAGGTTTTATACCTACTGTGTCTTAGGAAAATGAGTTCAGTAGTAAACGAACAAATAAAACTGCGGAATTTAGCTAAATGTTTTAGATACGTATGTGAAAAGAAACTTAGTGTATATTGAATTCTCCCTTCGACAAAGCAAAACAAAGTATACAAAGAATGAATTTTTTTAGCATTTAAAACCTACACTATATCTAATTTTAGTGTTTTCAATTTTAAACGTCGTATTTTGACATTCAAATATCTTTCAAATGACATTGGAGCGGTATTTACCTACGGATAGACAATTAAAACGAAATTCATTTTGATGTGCTGTTTATAGGTAGATATACATATACAAAGACATGAGCTTCTAAAATGTTTAAAATATTTTACATTTCCGGATTGAAGACATCTTGTGATTATTTTTTTAAGTACAAAATTATTACTGTTTTCTTAAATTTTATAATTAAAAAGTTTCTCCATTAAAAACATATGTAAAGACAAGCTTTTATGAATTTATTTATTTACACCATGTTGCTATGTCACAAAAAGGTATAAGTATGTTTGTACATATGTATGTCTTATAATATAATGTTCTTAATAATTATAATTTTTAATTTATATATTTTACCTCCTTTCTAAGGAGAGGCCTATGTCCAGCAGTGGACTGTTATAGGCTGTTGATGATGATGATGAAATTTTGGCGCCTAAATTAAAAGGTTATGCAAAATATCAGCATAATTGGTTGTAGATAACTGCTTTCAAATTCAAATCTACAGAAAAACATTGTAAGTTAAATAAAAGTTTGTAAGAAAATGTTAGAAGGCAGTTGTTTTTGCCGCGGTGGCTTTTTGCTTGGGCAGAGATAGACCGTACGTATAGCCAACTTAAAATTATAATGCATAGGCACGACTCGCTAGCGAGACCACTCACGGGCCGATACAAGCAACATTCTTAAATTCAAGAGTGTATCTTAACTTACACTCTTCTTTTTTCCTATTCACACAAGAAAACAAAAGAACATGATAAATATCAGTATTATTCTGCTACGTATACTTCAAAAACTACTGGCCTTCTTTAAATTATTAACTAACGCAATATACAGTTAGGTATACAAACAAATAAGTAGTTTCATAAAAAATGGATGCAAGAATTAAAAATGCATCGGTGCATTTATGAACAGATTAAAAACCCGCGAAAAAAAAACCATAAATAAGCATCGTATAATTTTTAAATACTTATTATATCTGTCTACCTGGGAACTAGATTGACTAGTTTCATAAAATGAATCATGTCGACTCAGGGTCACTCTCGGACTTCTCAGAAGGATAATTTGTTCATTAAATAAATTTGGTCATCTAGGTAGGATACTGACTGCGTTATTAATTCTTTGTGCGGTTGATGTAACTCATCACTTGTTTCTTAAATATTGAAAGTAACATGTTAGACCAGGGATTCCCAAACTATTTTGGGCAAGAGAACCCTTTTCTAAAATGAAGTCATACCTCAGACCCCTATAGAAAATTAGTACACGCTTATCTACTTGTTGAGTTTTTTTAAAGTACAACAATGATACTTCCTACTAAAATATTAGTCATTCTTACACCAAGTTGGTACATGTAACACAACTAATACAGTATCTGGAAAGTTTCAAATAAGAACGCAATTAATAGGGATTTTTTTAGACTTCGTTGACCCGCAAAATCAGTTTTTATTTAAGACGACCCCTGAGAAACCGGTTTCGACCTCAAGGGGTCAATATCGACCACATTGGAAATCCCTTGTCGAATCGAGAATTCAGTTAAATTTACTATACAGTTGATGGTCTAGTTACAGCTTATTTTTGTTTTAAAGTATGTATTGTAACATAGATGTTGGCTTCTAATTTAACTATTAAAAATCTTACTACGAGAGATTACTATCTTTAAAACTTTCAGGTCTACAAAGCGGCCCTTGTTCTTGACTCGTGAAGCGTGGTGACAAGCCACTACTGAAAGCTCTAGGTTTCAAAGCATACACACATAAGATCCAATACTACACTTGCACTTTGTCAAACCTAAATCCCTAACTATTCTAATAAGCAGTCGAAATACATCGACGGGCCTGTTGGTATAGTAGTTAGAGACACTGGCTGCTAATCCGGAGGTCATGGGTTCGATTCCCACCCAGGACAAATATTTGTATGATGAGCACGATCGTTTGTTCTGTATCTGGGTGTAATTTATCTATAATATGTATGTATTTAGAAATATATAAGTATGTTTATGAAGATGACGTTGTGTGAATGTGGTAGAATATTATGATTATAATAATTTGGAAACAATATCTTCATTGTCTTTAATTAACTTTCCATT